TGTCTGCGTGTCGAAAAATCGACAAGTAACACTACACAAAGTGTGCTGCTTGTCGAATTTTCGTCAAGTAACACTGGGAGGGTTAAAAAACAAATGATTTAGTATAGGTATTGAGCATTATTGTGTGCCTAATGGTTACGGAGAAAAGTCCAAAAAATTGTAAATTTAAAATTCCCATGTTATTCTCATGGAGAGTCATCTGTTGTAGTTTGCTTGGGTACACTTCCATATCTGTTGGTACAAACAACTGAATGAAAATATCGATCAATATATCGATTGGTCGATATATCGTTTGGTTAAAGCTAACTAACCAAACGATATATCGAATTAAGTTAAACAATCAAATAATCTATATTAGGCCTACTCATTCGGTTGTTTGTGCCAACAGATATAGAAGTGTACCCGTTTGCTTGTTTATGAACATAGGTATTTTGATCGAATTTGGAAAATAAGTACATTCATTTCTTAAACTATTAACATATAAAAAAACCTTTTTTTACCCTCCCTGTTGCAGAAAACCTAAGTAGGCCTGCTCGTTAAACTAATTAATTCTATTTAAATAGGGAATAAATGTGATATTTTTAAGGAGGCGTTTTAATGTAAATCCAATCAGGCTAATGGAAATTCACTTAGTCTGCAGGTTTGCTGCGGTGGGGGTATTTTACCTTAAAAGAGTTTGGCCTATAGGACTGCCTTAATAATTAAGTGCTATTGCATTGGGCCAAGGCCACAATTTAGTGTGGCCTTGATTGGGCCTAGCATTATTAGTGCAGTTTATTGTAATGACAAAAATATTGATAATTTATTTGTTTTTTAGGTTGTTCCCAAAGTTGGACTATGCATTACATTATTTGATATTCAGCGTTTGGAGGATTCATATATATTTCCTGGTGATGGCGCAGCACACACAAAAGTAGAATTTCGATTTGTGGTTTTTCGCCCTTTTATTGATGAAATCATCATTGGAAAAATCCGAAGTTGCACAAAAGATGGTGTTCAAGGTAATGAAGTATTTTAATCAACCGATAACTTACTTTTGCCTAATTTTAAGCCAATAATATCAAAATGTAAAAATATTGTACCATACAATAGGTCAGTCTATGCTGAAAATTGTATCTCTTTCAAGCAGTTTAACTTAACCACCACAGTGTAGATTAAATAAAACAAAACATTATATAGGTACTCGTGTTTCTGCCATTTATTTTTAAGGCTTAGCCTAGAGGATTTTGTTGTTTACTCATGTATTTTGTGCAATTTTATCAACTTAAAGCATTTTTAACAGGAAATAAAAATTTGCATCTATAAACCTCGTTTCATCTAGGCTAGTGTTTTAACCCAAGTGTTAAGTGCAACTAGTAAAAACTACCAAAATGAGGAATAACCTTAGTCAAAACTGGCACACTAAAATGTTAGGTACCAACATGAGACCACATGGAAAAAGGTATTTAAGTCTAAATACCCCACATAGCTTAAATAAAAGACATACATTTTAAAGTTAGCCTACTGAAATAAGTGTTAATGTACTAAGTATTGCGATTTCATGAGGGTTGCGAGGACAGTTTACATGTACGACAATAAACATGTTATTTTGTTTTTATTTGTATATTTTTAGCATGACTATCTCCCATGTGGAAGACCACACTGCATTGGCAAACATGGAATTAAGTACAGTATATAATAATAATGGATCAGTTTTTTTGTTACATCTCCTCAATAGCCTATGTAATTTTTGTAACACTTCTGATATTTGGTTCTGGCTGTTAATTCCTCCCAGCTTCCGCCATTGACTATAGCCAACAACACATACTTTGGGGGTTTTGTTATTACCATAAAGCAGGGGAGTTGTACTGTCAACGTATAGGCCTACTAAAATCTGAATCCTTAATTCATTCTGCCAAGATTATGATAAGAATAGTTAAGAAGGATTTTAATTTAAGCTCTGAAACAGCCCATGGTAAATTTATTGTGGCAATAAATGTTTAACTTAAACCAACATGCAACATGTATTAGAAAAGGTCTAAAAAGTAATTTGTAAACTAATTGTAAGCAGCCCAACTTAGATTCCTATCCAATTCATCATAGTGATGATGCTTTTGTTACATAAAAAACCACCAAAAGAGTATTTTTATTTTTATTACTATTTGTTGGAGAGAACCAATAATTTATTTGTCTTTACAAAAGCTGAACTGTTGTAAGTGATATTTTTCTACCTAGTGACGTTGGGATTCTTCGACGACATACTGATTCCGCCAAGCAACCTCCAACATCCGTCGAGGTTTGATGAGACGGAGCAGGTTTGGGTGTGGGAGTTTGACAATGACGGAGACAAGCACGATCTATTTATGGATCCAGGTAACCTAACAGTTTTGTTTTACGTTCATTTGTCACATGTTTGGCATTTGCTTTTTCATACAAGTCATATTTACCTGTTAATTGGTTTTGAGCATGAGCATCCTTTGACTACAGAGAGGAGAGATTGTACGGTATTTCCATATTTAAAATGTAGCCAATTTAGAATAAACATTAATGTAAGTCAATTGAGCCAACGACAGAATGTGCTGTCAATTACTGATTTCTGTCGTAGCATTGACTTTTTACCGAAGCCAAACTGAAATGCTAAATTCTATGAACTGAAAAAAACACCTTTTATATCACAACAATATTATCAGAAGTATCAAAAATATGTTAGAAAAAATATAATTTATACCGGAGTACACTCTTTGAGAGGAAAAGGCTCATTAAACTATCTTCTATTTGAATGACAACTTGGCTGAAGCTGGCCCAGATAAAATGTCTATCCTTCAGTCAATGATACAACTTTCAAAGCATAGTTATTGAATAATAATACAAATCTTTAAGGACACAAAGTAAATGGAAGGTGAACTCATAGATTTTTTTAAAGATAGCCTACCTATATTTCCTAAGTGAATGCTGTGTTAAGCCATTGATTTTATTACCACTATTTGAGATGAGGAAGAACAAAATTAGACTTGAGCTAACTCAAGTACTGGAGTGTGTACAGCCTACGGGTGAGATGCCTTGCTTAGTTTTGTTACTAGCTGATGCCAGGAACATTTTATTGAAAGCCCAAAAATTTTAATCTAAATTTGTGACTTTTCCTATCAAACCGGTTTAGTACCAAGGTGAGAACCACAACCTATTGTACGCCCAACTATTTTATTTTATTTACATGCTTCAATACAGTATACACCATTTACATTGAAGCAGTTCATGCACTTATAATGGAATACATGACCCTAAAAACACAAAATTTCATACTTTCTTCCCAACAATTTATTTTAGTTTGAATTGTTATTCTAACTATAAGCTACTACCTACATTGTTGCATTAAACATACATACTGATCACAAATGCTGGTAACCTGACAAATTATGAAAACTGAGTTGCTCGAATAAGAGTAAAAGGCTTATACACTTTACTCTTATTTTTTGTTTACTCCGTGATAAGATTATTACTGAATTTTTACAGGAGAGAAGTTGAAATTCCGTGTGACTTCAGAACTGTTTGTGGAGACTTCTCCAGTTCAATGTCCCGACAATCCTGAACTCCCAGACACCATTAATACTGAGCCTAAGGTTCCATATTCCATCACGGTGAGTCAAACTGCGTACAGCTTTGTAAATTAAGCATAGCCTCCTCTAAACAATGCCAGCTTTGATGTGTAACAATGTGGCTATTGCCATGGTAGCTGCAGTAATAACAAACATGTGAACATAAACAAAACATTACACATACACTCCACTATGAAAGGCCTAGTGCTAACTGTTGTTTAGTTAGGCTGGGTCTGCGACTTTGTCACTTTGGTCTCGCCACGGCCTTGTATTAGAGGAAGGCATGGTATCAGTCTTCCTTTGTTTTGTTTAGATTTAAAATTAACTATAGACTGAAAGTTGGCGGATCTGAATAGTTATGTAGGATGCCTTCTTTTGACTCACAGACAGTTCTAACTGTTACAGCTTAACTTTGAAGTTTAAAGTACCCGTTTGGCGTTTGTGGCTGATGTGTAAACAAAGTAAATATTGTTTATACACAATCAAAACCACTGTGTGCGATTCCTCACTTTACAATTCCATAACAATTGCTGACTAAATTAAAAATACTTATTGATATGTATCACCATTGACTTTTTTCACCAACAGTAGCCCTCGAATCCTATTGTAAAATTTGTAGAAGCCTGTTTTCATGTGTTAGGTTGGTTTGAGTGGGCTTATAAGTTGATTAAATATTTTTCTCTTATGTCAGGGTAAGTTTAATATTGTACAAATTAACTATTTTGTTATGATACCAAATAGTACTACTCCGTTTCTTGTTTTATTCAGTATTGTGTAGCCTGTCATTCTACAGTGAGACTTACCTCCGACCGTAATTCTTTGTTGCAGGCAACAATTAACGAGCCAGGCCTTGGAGTTCTCTCCTGGTGGGACGGAGCGTGAACTGTTGTAACTCAGCTGTACACTGTATATACTCTTGTAAATATATTCTAAAACTTAAGTGTCTGGTGAATCATATTAAATTTAGCCTTTTTATATAAATCCTAAATATGTGAAAAAAACAAGCAATACTAAGACTAAGGGTAATTCAAAAAGTTAAAATAATTTTCATATTCTATTAGGCTACCCTTAAAAATTCTGAAAACTGTAAAATATCACTGGCCAAAGTATGGGTTTGTAAAAAGTGTAAGTTTCAAATAATGGGGTTTTGTTACATTTAGGTGGGAAAGAATAACAAAACCTGTTGTTCCAACTTAACTTTAATGCAAAAATCCTTAAATGTTAACATTGAAAACTGCAAAAGTAACATATTATTTTCTCATAGCTTAGATTAATATAATATAACTGTTTACATTCTAGAAAACATAACAAAAACACAAATTTCATTTTGCATTTATAAATAAAACCAATCGAGAGAACAAGATTAGGAAACACTACAACACAACTTATTAATGTACATTAATTAATGTTAAGTACAAAACTTAAAGAACTCATGAACTAACATAATGAAACACTATATTGTCCATGTTAACAAAACTATCTTCACAAGGCAACTGTGGTTTGTTTATAGCAGAGGAAGTAACAGAGGAGTTTGAAGTTTTTCAAGTTTGATTGGTTGTAAATCATCTGAAGATCTACTTCCAGTGTTGTTTGGGCTGGAACAAAATACCAGATTTAAACTATTACAAAATCATAATTGCTTTTGTTAAGATAATTTCTGTAGTATAAATAGATCTGGTGATCTAAGTTGTCCCAAAGAACATTAGACTAATCAGACTGTGATTGTTTCAATCTCATTTAAAAGGCTACCAGTATTGAAACAGACCTGATTACAGCCGATTCTTTGCTGCCATGAACAGGGTAGAGCAATGTGTTAAGTGGTTTGATTATTACGTGACGTAAACATTCCGCTGAAAGATTGAGCATATAGCAGCAACCTTGGTGCTCAATTAATTTATAACCATGGGTCATTGTTATGATGAATAACCTAAACAAATTAGGAAAGCTAAAGATGTATGCTCGACAAAAAATACCTAAAGCTTAGGACATCCTGGCCAGATCACAGGAGTGTTCACCACAGGCCATGGCTTTCTGAAACTGCTTGAGGATCTATAATGGAGATACTGCTTATAGAAAATGTGAGCAGTCCAAAGAGACGAGAGATCATCTACTCTAAGACTTTACATCTCTGAATGAGGGAAGGGAAAGCACTATTGGAACAATGAGAAGGGGCAGAAACCTTCCTCAGGAGGAGCTCTTGGGCACTGCAGTTCATCAAGCAACTCAAGTTTGACGGGTTCTGACGCACCAAGCGGGGAGTACAAAAAGCCCATGTCCTGATGTGCATCAGGACAAGGTCCTCCCCGACTCAAATCAATCAATCAATCAATCATTCAATGGAAAACCTGATAAGGACTTACAAATCTGGATGAAATATGTTTGTTTGTTTTAGCTGATTTTAGTTGTAAATAGTTAACGATGGGACGGGGTTGGTAGATTTTATCAGCCACAAAGTAGTAAAATAGTTAAATATTTTTCTTTTAGTAAAGAGTTGAATTAGGTTGTAAAATCGTTATAAGTACAGTAAAAAAAAACTGAATTTAAGATATACTTTTTTCAAAATTGACCCAGTTGTCCTTGATCATTGGGCATTTAATCATTTCTAAAGAAACAACTCTTAGTCAGTAACAAAGCTACACAAAGCATCTAACATTACTCTACACTGATTACTTGCTCATATTTGGGTTAAAATGCACCCAGTTCTGCCCTATCTCAATTGGTATTGGTAGTATGGTAACGACTCTTAAGTTAGGATTAGAGTTCATAATTCAATGATAAAATAACTATTAAAATTAACTTACTGCATTATGCAATATGCAAAAAGTAACAAAGAAAACATTCATAAATTAATTGCTTTGGCAATAATTGAAGGAGAGGACGGAAACATTCTCTAAACTTTTAGTAGTACAGTAGTTTACTTTCACTTATCCATAATGTGTTTCTCTCTGTAACCACAAAATGTTTTGAGTCTTTTCTATAAGACTTTGTTTTTAGTGAAGTACATTTCCTACAAAGATGTTTTAATACTTAATTCCGAAATGGCGACCATACGAATGTAGGTACTTTAGCCAAGTATGAATGGAGATGAGTGTAGGAACATGTATAAAAGACAAGCAAACATATTTATTATTTTTGCACAACTTACCCACTTCTCTTCCCTCTACGGCTATACTTTCTCTGAGACGATAACTGACTGCTGTATAATCCCATCCAGTCTAATTTTACAAAATCAAATGGCTCAAACAGATCACTGGTGTTATATCCAAGAGGTTTGTGGTTTCTATACAAGTTCGTGTTGTAACGATTTATTGACTCACTGTGTTTAGCAACCATCGGAATATCTTGGATATTGTACTGTTGCAAGATCCAGTCAACAGTTTTCATTATAGTCATACTTCTTTTGAAATTGATATCATCCTCCACTATTGGTCTTATATCTGTATTTTGATCTAAAACTTCATCCCCTAGAAGCTTTCCATTGAGCAAGTTTACAACAAATCTGAATGGTTCTGTATCCTCGGTGTCTTCTGTTGCCAAAATATCTTCAATAGGAGGAATCTTTAGGATTATTCTATCGAGGAACTGTTTAGGCGTATGAACTTTTGGTAGTAAAAGGTATTTATTGATTAACCCGTTCAGTTCTCGTAAAAAAGGAATTGCATCCTGTAAATAAACGTACTGACGCAAACACTCATCTGCACTCTTCAAGCAGTCACTTTGAAGTACAGCGTATATCTGCAATACAAGTTTGAATCAATTAAAAAAAGTAGTAAAAAAATCTGTAAAAAAATAGAATTATAACTTTCTAAAATCTTAGAAAATAAGACTTAAGTTAAAATTCAATTCAAATTTCCTAGGCAAAAAGGTATTTTGCAAAGAACACTAAAGCAGCCTGCGTTTATCTGAATAGTTTATAAAATAATAATAAATTAAGATCATAATCTTGTTAAAATGGGTTTCACAAGACTTGTCATAAGCTTACATCTTCCCACACTTACACAATATTGAAACTGATCTAACCTCGTTGCAGATTGTATGAATTGTAGCGGTGCACTCGGAGTGGAAAGGCATGTAATTCAGCCGATGCATAACTTCATTCACAAAGCTGGTGATCAAAAGTATCACTTCAGACAACAATTTACCTAAAATGTATTAAAATCAATAGCTTATTCACAATTGAAGAAGTCCAAAGAAACTCAACAAGTATAAAAGTGTTTTGGGAAATAAAAGTTTTTGGCCTATAATAAGTCATAGCGCTGTTTGAAGTTCCTATGGTACTTTGATATTATACGGAGGCCAGCCTTATATAGCGCGCTGCGGCGGTTATGTTAGGTTGGGTTATCATAAATAAAAAGTATGACTCATCTGGTATTGTTCTGATTCATTACAAAACGAGGAAAGTCCTACAAAGATATTTAAATGATAACTCAACCTAACATAACTGCCCTGCTGTAAAATATGACAGCCTCGGTATAATACCAAAGTACCGTTTTTACTTTCTAAGCAATTAACCCATACAAATAATTTAATAAGTCCATTTGATTGAGAGAAAAAAAATGGACAACGTAATCATTGAGAAGACATACAAACCTTTATTTTCATTGTACAACAAAATAAGAGCAAGGTTTAAAACATGTTCAACACAAGGATTTAAGGGGATTCTTTTGGAAAGAGATAGGCATCTGCCAGCTCTCCTCAGAAAATTAGGGGTTTGTGGTAGACACAAAAAGTATTGCCGTGTCCGTACCGGTACCACAGATTGTTACTTAATCCTAAGTTATTGAACAAAACTTCAGTGATATATTAATAAAAGACTAATAGTTTTGCTGGAGGGATATTTTTTGTAAAAGACTCTGGAATTTCTCTCTTTAGGTAAGCTAGCTAACTCTGTCCTTGAAAAAATCTTTATTGAGCCACACAACATGTCCTTATGCAACACTAGGATATGTACATATGTACACAAGTACAGTAGCCTACCTACTAAAAGGTCTTAGTAACTTATAATAAAAAACTACTGAATAAATTAATGAATAAGTGCTTTTATTTGCAGATTAATTGAGTACAATGACATTCTTAGCACTACATACAACAATGATCATTATGATCGTCTGTTGTGGCTGGCGTACCTGGTCATCAGCACCTAACTTTAATAAATAAGTTACCAAACAGCAATAATAAAATTATAATATAATTAAAGTAAACTAAACCGGTAAAAAGTAACCGGTTAAAGTAAACCGGTACTTCTAAAAAAAAATTAAAAACAGAAACAATACTTTTTTGAAATAAAGATATTTTAACAAAAAGAACATATATATTTTAATAACAATATAGTTAATTAATTAAAATAACCTTTACTTTTTTGTTTTTTTTAACAAAACAATACATTTTTCTTCTAGAGATATTTTTATAAAATAGAATATAAAACAAATAAAACACTTTCTAAGACTTTACTAATAACTAATGAACAAAATATAAAAAAAACTACTTATGTTGACTCACCTACATAACAAAGATATTGAACTTTCTTCCCCTTTTCAGAAAATTTGAGTTTACCAATTTGCCAGACATTCATTAAAAACAAAGTGAATTCTTTAGTATATTCCTTTTCTAAGACATCTTCCAACCCTAAATATTTTATGTGGACCCCTTCTTTAAGAAAGAAACCGAATTCTTCTTTTAAACCATAAAAAATATCCAGCAGCTGATTACATTCTATTTGAAGTGAGAAGAGTCTGTGAGATTCATATTGGAGAATGTTGATCTGAAACACAAATTTTTTTGTTAATAATTGTCAAACAAAATACTCATAAATTATATTTAGGGGCCCAGCGGTTTAAGTGATTAGACCTCCGCTCTTTTCTAGGGGCCCAGATTAAGTTAACAGTCTGTGATGTAACCAATTATAAGTTACTTTATACAGACATCTAAGTTAAACTACTATTTTTTTTAAACTAGGCCTAGATATATATTTGTAAGTACCGATCTAATTACGAACAACATGTAAAAAACCCCTAAAGTTAACTTATTAGCCTACTGTAATTTTTGTTGCTGATGATTTGACATTGTACGAGGATGAGTTGTTGAGTTGTAAATAGGTTACATGGACAATCTGTATAATCAAATGTAAAATCATAGGCAAGCATGTTTCTTGAAACCCCTTTTTCTCAGCTCATCATGTGCATCACAGAGAAAATCTATGCGTATTTTATTTTATTTAATTTTGTTATATTGTTTATATTGTTAGAAAGATTGAAAGATATTTTCCTGTAGGTTGCAGAATCCCTTTATAAATTACTGCAATTAAAAGTGGGGCCAAAAACAACCGAACTAATATAACTAACTTTATATAGATTATTTCATTCCATGTATCAAGTTTGGTTAATTAGTTAGGTTAACCTAACCTAAATAAAGGAATGAAATAATCAATATGTTTAATAATCTATACAATATTTTCATTCGGTTGGTACAGTATTTGGCCTCATTTATGAAAGTCTACCCTAAAATAAGTTAGACTCAAAAATATGTAAAAATGAATAAAAAAAATAACAGGCTAATTGGTTGTCATTACTTACTTAGTGGTAACAAAATAATATAAACAGAAAATCAAAACAAATGGAAGAAATTCCAATCACATGTTGTGGGGTGAAAATAGAGAAGTCTGCAACATAGGTATACATTACACAAATTTTTGGTTGAGTTTTCAACCACTGAACTCCTCTAGTGAATTAATGACTAGGCCTACTATAATAAATGGATCCTTTTTTTAAGAGGTGATTTATAATACCTTTACCAATAAAAGCAAGCCCTCCACTCTGACCCTAGTCCCAAATAGGTAGGTATTTGACAGTCTTGTGTATTCTAAACAGGCCCGGTCTGGCCAGGGCGGCTGGTCGGCGATCCCCGAGGGCCTCTGGCTCAAGGGGGCCTCCAAAAGCCAAAAAATCAATTCAAAAAAATTTAGTTATAATAAAAAATATTTTGTTTTACTGTTTTACTGTCACAGCGACGTAGTCTTGCATAAAACTATTTATAAACAACACTCTTTTTTTAATTGAATTACAGTTAGGGGTAGTCCCTAAAAACAGTGATAGTCACATAGTGATAGTACTAGATCTTCTACTATCCTAGTCACCGATTTCACTGCAACGCACCGTTCGAATCAGCTCAGTGCCCAGCGCTCCGCGCCGTGCTGGCGCGTCTGCGCCCTTAACCTGTCTGGTGTCTGGACTCAAGCAGACAGCTTAGCGCTTGTACTAGTATAGTGATGGGACAAACGACTGGAAAAAACTATCGACAAGTCAATCTGTCAATCGGTTGTTTTTAAAACCAGTGGTTTTTTCAGTCGAATGAAAACCCGAGTGAATTCCACTACAACAACAACTGGTGGCGTTCAATCGGTGCAGTGGTTTCAGTCATTGCAAAGAAAATTATCGAATATAATTTTACTTTAAACATTGGAGTTTTCCCGCTTGATTCCTATTGTTTGTTGTCATTTGCATTAATATTTTGTTACTTTGGTATAAAACGTAATACAATGACAACATTTACAATTAATTAAAAATTTTTAGTTTATTACATGACTGCAAGATTTAAATTATTCAGTAGGTCTAATGTCTCTAACTCAGAATAACAAATATTCCTATTTATTTGTTACCGGTACCTGGTTTTTAAAACAGATTTTACTACAGGCATTAAAATCTAAATCATCAGTATATAAAACACAGTGTCTTGGCAATTTTATATTTTGAAAACAACAAAAATAAATGCAATTACATTTTATATACCATCCCTAAAAACTGTTCCCAATTCCTATCCGTCAGTTTATCTACAACTGATTTTATTCGAGTATAGTGTTACGACTAGTTTCATCACCGACGACTGTTTCCAGTCATTCCTACATACCGTAGTGGGTTATGACCTATTGTTACAAAAGATTACTAACATGTGAATCGTTCAGTTTATAAAATGAAACGTGTGCACCCAAGTGGCGCAAGTAAAATAAAAATGGATAGGAAATCTTTCAAAATAAAAACAAATTAAAGTCAAACTGTTTGAACTTATGGTTAGCAGGTTAGCTGGTTTCAGTTCCGATTCTGCTAACAATGAGAAGTCGCAAACAGGCAGGCGGAAATCATCAGAAGTTTTTTGTAAGCCTTACAACATTTAAATTAAAATACTTTTGATTAGTTCTGTTTGTCTTTGTTGCTGAAGTACAACTATGGAGTAAAATGTGTGATAAACAGTAAATGCATTCATAGATGTATTCAAAAGTGGTACGTGATATGCTTTTTTTCCATGTATGGCAAAAACTCCAAGAACTAGGTTTTGGTCTTATTTTTAAATTGAAGACTTGAAACAGTTTTAAGAATAGGCCTTTAAGTTTTATGGCAGCTGTAGAGGTGAATAGAAATACGAGCAAATTGTATATCAAATTTAAATTGATTGATACCTTGGAATTAGATTTATAAATACATAGATTTTAATTTATGGAAATTTAGCAATTATTAATTTAATCAAAATTATCAAAAACCTTTAAGCATTTAAAACCACCTTAGGCCCTTTTTATGCACCTGCGGCATGCAGCAAACATATGCTAACTAATTGTTGCCGTGAGAGCACCCCATGGTCCTTGTTTTATTCCTGGCTGGGGGCCTCCAATGGAGCCAGACCGGGCCTGATTCTAAAACAACTTTAGATGCCCTATACCCTTTCATATCATCCTCTGGTTGCTCTTTGTCTTTGCTTTGCTTAGATTTTTGAATAAAGTGTAAAGCATTTACCAAATACCTAACTTGGAGAGAAAAAAAAAACTATGGAGAAAAGTTTATCCATGCAAACAGCTAAGTTTATCTTAAAAATCTAAGAAATAAATTCACTTACATATTGTTTGGTTTTCCAAACTAATTCACAACAAATATTGTTACTTCTATAAAAGTGATCAACAAGGTAAACATCCATTGCTAAAACTGTTCAAAATGTTTCTTTTCTTTGTCTTGTGTCTTTATTATGATGTTCCACTCTACCCAACCCAGTCTACCCTGACAATAATTAATTTCAAATAGAACAGCTGATAACTGCAAATGCAACAAAATAACAACAATATAAAAATATAGCTTTTGGGACTTTTGAAATATTATTGTGAGCTGCAGTGTTGCCAACATTCTAGGTTACATCATACATTAAAAATATACTCTCGATATACAATGTATTGTGTTTTACACTGGCTGGTTAAAAAGGCAAAAATATATATTTTACTAGCAGAGTACCAGTCCTTCGTGAGGGGTTGGCATAAGTATAAAATGCTTATTGAAGTTATTCTCAAGCTTTGCGTTTTCAATGAGAGAGGACACAGTTTGATATAATTTGCTTCTTTAAATTTACGGTATACAATAAGACATAAGATATTTATTGCCGTTGATCATTTTTACATGAGATGGGCATGGTCAACATAAATATATACAGTCAATAACATCAAATAATATCAATAATATCGATAATAATCATCAATAATATCTAAATATATTTAAATTAAAACTAAAGTTGCAACTCCAGCCTAGTACCCAAACAATGTATTATACATCATTTTACCATAGCCATAATGTTCTACTACTTCACCCAAACAATAGAGGAAAATAACTTATAATAAAACCCAAAATATTACAAACTAGAAATTAAAAACATATAAACATAACTGTTGACAATCCTACTTTGACATTTCTCATTGCGTTTTCCAGTTTTTTGTTGCTGCTTAGTTCAAACTAGCTGTTTTCATAAATACAAAAAATAATCGAGCCGCATCCTGTTGGTAAATCTTATAATTTTAATGCTTTTGCATATTATCATAGAAGCAACTTTTTTTGATGAAACAACCTGACCGAATTCCCTTTAAATATGATGTTTAACACAAAGTGCTCTTAGTTTGACATGGGGAACTACAGAGCCACGGCCGCCTTTAACTCCACCAAGGCCTTCGAAGTGGCAACGTCGCAAGTAGGCACTCAGTGCAAGTAGGGTTGTAAAAGCTGTTTTGTTTGGAATCGGCCAATGGTATTTGTGTATTTACGAAAGCTTGGTTACTGGACGATGAAAATATTGACTCTGCTTTAAATGTACTGATATAGATTTTCATTCCATATTGTTTTATAAGTATGTTTTATAGATTTAATAAATTTAGGTTCATAAATTTATTTAAAACAATAAAGTGGGAATTATAGAGCTGATGTCACCTGTCTGCCATGTTATCTTATGGGACGTCTGATACTAAACAACCCTACTTGCGACGTTGCCAATTCTACCAGGCCGCGGCCTGTTAAAGGCGGCCGTGCACTGGGGCGGAGGCCGAAAGGATTTTTAATCCGCTTAAAAATTTACAGATATAGGCTAGATTTTTAATTCATATTGTTTCGGTTTTCAATTCTGTATGTTTATTATCAATATTTTAATAAATTTATGTTCATAAATTTGAATTTAAATCAATAAAGTGCGAATTAATGAGCTGATGTCACCTGTCTGCCATGTTATCTTATGCGGGACGTCTGTCACTGAACAACACCACTTGCGACGTTGCCAATTCTACCAGGCCGCGGCCTGTAGTTAAAGGCGGCCGTGCTGTCACTAAACAACACCACTTGCGACGTTGCCAATTCTACCAGACCAGGCACAGACTCATCTTCATAAAGCCCCCCACACACTTCCAGACCAGACCGTTTGGTCTGGCGTCTGGCACTTGTCTTATCGTGTGTGGAGCTGTCCGCAGACAGATTTTCTCGGACCAGACTGTCTGCGTGTCTGATGTTCCCCCACCACTATTTTTGTCAGGTCTGTGAGTGTGTAGCACTGTCTGTCAGACGGCCGACCGTCGCGACAGGTTTCATCGATGGTTTCATCCATTTGTTGGAGTTCTCACCACGGTGTCTCAATTACAAATGTTCAAATGTCTGGTCTGGGAGTGTGTAGAGCCGTCCAAGATGGTCTGGCAGTGTGCGGGGGGCGGGGGGCTTAACAAAGGAGAAAGCAGACGATGACGTTTGTACTCGCTAGACGGAGACGTCATAATAATACTGTTTTTCGTTTTTCCTTTCAGCAGCCGCTTCGCTATTTTCGTTGTCTTTGACAACTTTCCGTCAGCGTGTTTGCTGCCGATATCTGAGGAAGTCTCGCTTCAGTCTTATTAACTTTAATTAATTTAGATTTAAAATACCTGAAAAATGGCGAAATATGATTTGACCAGTCAATTAGCACCATACTTGGATCGCCATTTAGTCTTTCCCCTCTTGGAGTTTTTATCGGCGAAGAAGGTAGGCTATTACAAAGTTTGCTTTATAGGTTAGGCCTTATACTCTCAACATATTGAACTTCATTGTTACTATTATAATTCTCTACTAATCCTATATATTATGCTATTTTATTTGTTATTTTTCATTGCTATATCAATGCCGTTTTTGTCTCATATCCGTCCCATTAGCATTATAGAATTACATTTTTGGGTTCAAGGTTCTAGGGCTTTTAACCTATGTTAGGCCTAAGTGACATGATACCTGCCACATACAATTAGAGAGTTTTTGCACCTTTGTGAAAACCCGTTAATCGCAACTACTAAACGTTATAGCGTTTGGCGTTTAACATGTTGGAGCATCTAGCCACCCATAATTTTGAGTTTTTGCATCTCCGCGGAAATTACATTTAACGCTACCGGCAACACTATACCTAAAATGGAACTAGGCCTAAAGATAAAGGTGGTGTATTTATCAATGCTTAGAGGTTAGGATTGTTTATTATACTTGGCTACGATTCTTTTGTAAGTTATGGAGAGGGCATTTTTAACTTTATTAACTTAGCTTTAGGAGCTATTATAATTTTAATAGCCTACTTTAAGACTTTTCATTGAAATGGTGACCATACAAAGTAGCCTAGGTATTTTAAGCCAAGTAACTTAGGCCTATGAATACTTAACTGGGCTGCACTTTACTTTACGTCCTACAGTCATTCGAATGAAAATATCGATTACAGTACCTATTTTGATTGTTTAATTCAATATATCGTTTGGTTAGGCTAACCTTACCTAACTAACCAAAGGATATAACCTATCAAATAATCGATAACTTATACCGATCGATATTTTTATTCGAATGAGTGTGCAGCCCTGATCTGATCAAGGTTCTATGGTTTTCATTCACATAGAACTTCTTTTAATATCACTATTTCATCATTTAGGGTGAATCTCTGAAAAGAATCCATAACTTATTGAAGAAAACTTACAAGCAAAAAATCTAATCACGCTTAAAAAATAAACTCAGCATATACTTCCAACTTAGTTAAATGTTTAATTGTCTACACTTAACAGCTGGGACATACCGTAATGCATTAAACATTCTAAAAATTACTTTTAAATAACTTAGGCTACCTATTTTATGTCGCACATAGGCTGACATTAACTTTCTAAAAACTTTAGGAGGAGAGACTTAATTTTATTAAGTTACTAATTAATTTACCAGTCAATAAATAAGCAAAACCCTCTGATTCACTTCCGGACACGGATTCACTTCTGGGGAGATTTACAAGGTTATTAAGAGAAAGCGTAGTTTTCTGTGGAAAAGAGTGATTTATGGAGATATGGGATAATTCTTTCTAGAAAATTGGATTTTCCAAAAAAAGTGAATTTTAGTCGATAACTGATAACTTAACAGTATCAAACTATTGTAGTTAATTTATGTGTGCGTGTAGTCTTTGTTTTTGTGTTTTTTTTTCGTACTATTGAAATGAAATGAAATGAGATTTATTTTCCTTTGAGCACTGTACAAAATGCAATGGGCATCGTCAAAAAATACAATTGTCAATATATACAATCACTACGGTATATACAAAACTTAACCTAAGAAAAACCAAGCAAACACAGCACGCAAAATAGGCCTAAACTACTAGATTTTGCTTGAATGTTAGGTAGCTCAAGAATCTTGACTCTTTGAAAAAAGAAAATATACCTACAACAACGGAAATATTAAACAACGACACATTCTATTCCCTCACCAGAGGGTCAACTACGAAGGCCAATGAATAATAATGAATAATGAATACTATAATTTATTATTTTAAAATAAAAATTTGTTATAACTTAACTTAAGCGCTATGAAATACACTCATTGTTGATGCTCAGGGCTTTCAGACGCTAATGACTGGACTGTCAGCTGAAATAACCTTGATGACAAGTTAAGTCACCCTCAACTAGAAGAGCACCCTCAATAAGCTAGCACAACTGTTTCCCTATTCCCCTTGAGATACTTCTTATCAAGGTTCTAAGTTAAAGGCTAATCTTATTATTATTCATGTTTTAAACGTATTTTAATAAGTAGGTAGCACCTTCAGTACCTGTAACCTACAGATGCCTATGCTAACGTACTCTACTGATCAATGTGTAACTAGCCTGTACATCCACACTATTATTATCAGGCTACTGATGCTTTACTACTGTAGCTATATATGCCTAACTAATGTTGTAATTAATTTGCAGTACTGTACAATAATTTACCTACATTTATTTACAGATCTATAACGAAAATGAGATCCTCCAAACAAAGCTGAACATTTTAAACAAAACTAACATGGTGGATTACATTCTTGAGATCCGTCAGCAACTCAATCTTACCGAGGACGAATCCGAAGTGAGTAGCCTAATAATTTATTGCCTACTATTTATTAGCCTACACTTACAATAACGCCAATGACTTGTAAAATGGTTGAATTAGTAGAACGCTTTCATCATGATTACAAAGTAACCAGATGATTGAGCTTGTTAAATAGCTATTTACCTTAAACAATTGTAGTAAGAGCATTTTTACATGACGCAGGTGAATGTTGTGCAACGAGCGGAAGCGAGTTGCATAATTTACCTAAGTGATGTAAACATGCTCTTGTGTAACGTGTAACGTACAAGATTTTACCTGACCCGACAATATACAGGAGGTTACGAACAATATTTTTCATTTATCCATTTCACTCATCTTCTAACAGTAACGTTCATTTACAAACAAAAGCTAGGTTAGGAAAATTCTTCAAAACATAACAATAAAATTCAAGCGCACAGCTGATTTCTAGCATTGAACGTTGTTGGCTCCATAGAGATGTATTTTTTAAGTTTAGCACTCAATGTTACTTAAATGAGTTTCATTACCTCACCGAGTGAGCTTTTTCAACTTTAGATCACTTGAGAAGTAAAGAAGTTGTATACATCACGCAACTGCTCGCTAACAGATGGGATAGGGAAGTTTAACATGGCGGGTTAGGTAAAAGTCTTAAACTGCTAAGTAAAATGAACTATTAAAGATATTTGTCATTTTATTTTTATTTTTTCATTAGTGTGTTCATCAACATTATTGGAAGTTGTTAGGTTTATTATTGCAATATTAACTTTTTAAAGAACAAAACTGCTAGCATTTAACGCTGTTAATCTTATAAAAAAAATAATGGAATGTTTTTTCATAGCCCATAAACGCTCTGCAAAAGAAAAGAGAACATGTTTTGGAACAACTCCAGCAACTTCAGAGTGAAGCCCAAGTCGTCATCGGCATAATGAATAATGAAGAGGCAAGCAAAAGTCTTGACGGAATGAGAGACTCAAAGAGTATAACTCACTTCTTACAAAATGAATATGGAGTGAGTAAACATCATTATAAACTAGACCTTAAACTTTATTTTCTGTTTTATGCTTAGTGAAGAAAAAGCCCTACATGTGTTAACATATACCAACCTATTATGAGGACTAGGCTAATATTGAATTGATGACAATAATAGGCCTACAAACAGATTGATCTCATTGTAATGCTATTTGTACTTTGTATAAATTAGTAAACATTTGCGGGGGGCATATTTAGTATTGTGGTTAGAGCGCAATACTTCTTACGTGGAGGCACAGGTTTAAAGCTGTCTGTCGGCAACGGTTTATAAATAACAAATGATAATGACATGGACAAACAGTATTTAGGAGCCCACCCTCAGTTGCAGTTTAGAAAACTATTATGTGGAGACAATTGTGCTGTAGTGAAAACGCCCAATATTGCACGACTTTTTACAAAAAAATAGTGCAATATTTTTAAAACTGTCTCATACTACCACCTTTGAGTAGTAGCAGTAGATAGTAATAACCCCTAGTGAATAGTAATAGTCTATCAAGGAATAAGTTACCACTTTGAGGCTAGAATGGCCATCATAATTGTACTAATTTGTTGTTTTTCAGCTCAAACCAGAAATGATGGAGAGTCTGTACAAGTTGGGGAAGTTCAGATATGAATGTGGTAACTACTCCGTTACTTCAACACTCCTCTACTTCTACATAAACGTCATGCCTACCACAGACAAGGTAAGATTAAAGCAGAGATAGAGTTTCAGTGATATAATTGTTGTTTTAAGAGTAACTTTCTGTAATTTCATCTCAAACTATTGTTTATGTTATGTAAAGATCCTACCAATTATTCTCTTACACAGAAGAGCCAGGCTCTTGAACCTACAGTCTGCAAGCAGATTTTTTTCCGGATCGCAGAAAGTCAGCATTGGTTAATGAAAAAAAAACTTATTGCTAACACCGATCTTCTCCCGTGACCACGTGAACAAACACCTATGTTCGTAATAGCATGATCGTCTCCCACGGTCGCAGCAATACTCGTCACCAGTGTTTGCGACCTTACGACATTCAAAGAGAACTAATGAAACGCCAGCAATGAATAGAGGCTTAGCCACAGGATATTGATGATGGAACTCTTGGCCCATACCAGATTTATTGCAATTCCTTGCAGGTGGTCCAAATCCTGGAAAGCCAGGGCTAGTCATGGGAGAAAATTCTGGTACGGTAATTGAAAGTCATTGAAATAATAGGCAAAAAGTCGTGGAAAGTGAATGAAGGATGGATTTGAGGGGATTTTTCAATGCTCTAGTCGGCCGTAACCCCCACTATCGTAGCATTTTTCAGGATTTTTCACAAATTTAGGCCTAAGACAATTCAACTTATTACAGTTGTATTAGTTTATGATTTTTGAGTTTGTATTAGCCTAGTTTAATACAATCTGTACCTACTTTATCTTATAATTTAATTTAATATTTGTAGGACAGTTACAACAGTAGTGTACCTAACTCATATTAAAATGTTACACCTTTATTATTACAACTCGGCCGGGTTTTCTTTTTTCCGTTCCTTATTACGAATAAGTTTACCATATTTTTGCAAAACTTATTACCCCAATGTTCTGTTAATACATATTTCATTATTTTCTATGAAATTACTTGTCTAGACAGTATTATTCGTGTTTGTATATGTTATATTATAATTTTTGAGTTTAGTCATGGAAATTAACAGTGTTGGGAAGTAGCGCGCTACAAGTAGCGACGCTACAGTAGCGCGCTACTTTTTTTGTAGCGTTAGCTGTAGCTACGCTACTTTTAAGATTTTGTAGCTTTAGCTGTAGCTAGCTACATTTTTTAAGTAGTTGTAGCGGAATTTTAGCTACTTTTCTCGCTACATTAACATTGTTTGAGATAGTGATTTTTATCATAACCTCAACCTTACGTGAAACCTTTCAAACTGAGATTTTCAAAAAAATTAGGCCTACTTTCTTGGCTTCATACAGCTGGTTGCAGCCGTTTCATTCCCTATACAACGTTGTGTGGACATGGATGCCATTAAATTAGTGTTATCCACATTTTTGGCTCTCATTTCCTTAATTTACTACTCTATGATTACTGTCCTGTCAGATTAAATAAAATCGCTAGATGCAGACGACTTTTAAACGTTACCGGTGTCAAGACAAGCTATTGAATGCTTGCAAGTGATTGACAGGGGAATTAGTAATCAATTTAGTTTCTTTATTATATCGATAGTGTTTCAACTTGGGTTTTAATGGAAACCAACACTAAACCTTAAAAAAATGAGAAAGCTGGTCTATCAACCTTTGCTTCAGCTGTTGATTGTGGTTCATCACAAGCCCTTCCTTGGTTAGATTACGAAGATTTTTCAAAGGTTTACTAAATTAATAAAGAGGAAATTACCTGATGTGTTTTAAGATATGCCTAGACTAAATGATAATTGTAACGAAAAATTCTCCATATCACACGAAACTTACATTGAAAAAATAGCATAGTTTGCTCCTTCTAACAGCTCTTGTAATTCCTAGGCTATGCTATGGTTGAAGACGAATACCAAGTTCCAAGTTCAATTATTAAGAATATATCTGTTTAGTCCTTGCAAGAACAAGCCTACTATAGCCAACTTGTTACATAGCCAACTATGCCTACGTTTTATTTTTACCTTACAAATTTCAACATGTTTAAATTAAAAGCCGATTTCAGAATAAGGTGCTGAATACTGTTTTCTGTACCAACTAGGTTGAAGCACAATTTGCCCTATACATAATGACAATAAATAACGATTTCTTGACATTGAAAAGTGTTATTCATAGAAAAAGTAACTTATCACTATGGTTAAAAGTTATAGCAATGTCGTTTTTAACTTTAAAAGTAAAGAAAGGCATTAAACTCCAATTTCAGTAGGCTAGGCTCTGTAACACAAAAAAAAGTAGTTTTAAATAGTCGTTTTACAGTTTTATTGGTCTTAATTGTTGATATAAGACATCTATAAATGAATCTATATTAAAGAAATAAAATTAGCTTTTAAAATAAAGTTTGGTTGTATGCCCTTTGAACTTAATGAAATTTACATTTACCTAAGATGCCTAAAAAATAATGCAATATTTAAAAATAAGTAGCCTACTAAATATGATGGGACACCCAACTATTTGGTTCTGTTGTTGTAATGTTAGGTTTGTAATGCTAACAAATTAAATACAATCTAGGAATAATTTGTTTTCCAAGTAATGTTAGATACAATCATTGACTATATATACCTGTAGGTATATATAGTCAATGATACAATACTGACATTTTTTGTTTTAATGTTTGTTCAATAAAAATGTAGTTGCAATTAATTTTACATTTACCTAATGTGCGTGGAATAAAAAGTAACGTCTTTGGAAAAGTAGCTAAAATTGTAGCTGTAGCTACATTTCATTGTAGCTGTAGTTGTAGCTAGCTACTTTTTCGGAACTGTAGCTGTAGCTGTAGCTAAGCTACTTTTTTGGAAATGTAGCAGTAGTTGTAGCTAGCTACATTTTAAAAGTAGCTTCCCCAACACTGGAAATTAATGACAAATTTTCTGTGGACACCCTGCTTTGTCATTTTTTTGTTCAACAAAGTTCAGTACGATTCCTGGTATCCAGGTTGGCTTGCTGTCGGGTGTATTGGGGTAACTACTTGAATGCATTAGGGGACAAGTTGTCATCTAGGAAAAGTAAACATTGAATTTAGTTGACAAACTTTGATCACTAATTTGCGTATGTTACAGAACTACTTGAATGTATTGTGGGGCAAGCTGGCGTCTGAGATCTTGCTACAACAGTGGGACAGTGCACTAGAGGAGCTCAACAGACTGCGGGACTTCATAGATTGTAACAGCTTCGGCTCCACACTGCAAGTGTTGACCCAACGTACCTGGCTAATACATTGGAGTTTGTTTGTGTTCTTCAACCATTCCAAGGGACGAGACCTCATCATCGACATGTTCCTCTACAAGAATAAGTGAGTGCTCTATTTAACTACAGTAGAGTTTTTTAATACCCTTTGCGTCTTGTAGGCTACAGTAAAACCAAATTAAAGGCCACTGCTGTTCAATATCGTAAAATATTCATAATTTTTACTCTGTTGTTAAATTATTTTTGATTTTGTACAAACCTTACAAGAGCTTTTATCAAGCATATCTGTTTGAAAACATTAAGTGACAGGCTGATCTCTTTCAGCGTTCATTTGTCGTTTCCATTCCAACAGTTCCTACACAGTTGTACAAATCAAATCTTCCAAACATGTACCGATATGCATATTATGTTTACAGCACTTATAAGTTTATCTGAATCTAAAGTTTTCAGTCAAGTGCAAAAACAAAACAATAGTACAAAAACAACAACAAAATTAACAAAATTAAATTTTAGTAACAACATTTTTTAAAGTATATTGAAATAGACTAACACTATTTGGGTGGATACTCTTCTTACTTGCATAAACATATGACGAGTCTTCAAGAGTTACATGGAGGGGTCAACATCTTAAATTATGAATACTAAGTGATTACTCGGTTCATCGGAGGTCAAACCAGTGAGATTATACTGAAGATGAGTTTGTTACCGGATGGCGATGATTTCCAATTTGTCAGTAGGCCTAACACTAATAATGCTAATCAATGGATATTACATGTTTGTAATGATGATCTGTTGGTGATAGTTACCTGAATGCCATCCAGACGATGTGTCCCCACATTCTGCGCTACTTGGCAACTGCAGTGATCATCAACCGGCCTCGACGTAGCGCTCTCAAGGACTTGGTTAAGGTCATCCAACAAGTAAGTAGTGTAGCTAGATCCTACCATTTTCTAGCCGTGATGGCCATTGTTTAACAAACAAGCGTTTAATAGTTTAGGGGCTAGGCTTATGTCGACGTTAAACATTTAGTTCTATAAATTGTTGTTGATCCTTTCAAAGTGATGCTTAATCTTGTCTGTTTGGTTTGATTTGATGATTTGGAATGTTGTTTTTAACCCTCCGAGTGTCATGCGTCGCTGCAGCGACGCGTAACGCACTTTGTATAGTGTCGTGCGTCGCTGCAGCGACTCGCGAACACTGTTTACGGCGAAGGCTCTATGACTAACTGAATCGGACTGTACTGGATTGAGTTAGGTATCGTTCTGTCCGTAATATTCTAAGCTTTCTCCAGAGGTCTGTCTCTAAGCACTATTCATTTTAGTTCCGAAAATATTGTAGCAGACAGCTGACTGAGCTGACGTGCGTGTATTTGTAAACAGCTAGGTTACCCTCGGACCGATGACTGATGTGTTTTATTACGTTTATCATTGTTTTAGTGTTAAAAATCAAAAGTAGTGATATACGTGGTGCATTATAAGAAGATTTAAGTGGTTTTGAAGTGCTGGTTGATGATCCTGAAGAAGTAGGTAGTGATATTGATGTAAATTATCAGCCAGATTCCTAGCTATGGTTGGGCTATGCATTCTTAGCTAAACGCTATGTACTGAAATCTGTTTTTTGCCCATAACTTTTTTATTTGCAAATCTACTTCCTTATATTATTATAGATTTGTAATCCTCATAAAATTTAGAACAAAGTGGCTATTTTCAAATATTTATAGGCCTATAATTTATACAATTTCATTGAGCGCAAACTTATTTTTTTTTTGAAAATTTTCGAAATTATACATTTTTTTACCTAAAAAAATTTTTTTTTTTTTAATCTTCCTTATGTTTTATATATAATATTGAAGCCCAAGATTTTCCAAACAAAATGGTATATAGAACAGTATAATTAACATTGTTTTTAAGCTTCTCAGATCAGTTTTAATAAAACCTTGCAAATGAGCAAAAAATAGGCTGACATTAAGGCCAAAACACGTGACACTCGGAGGGTTAATAAACATATTATATTAGTGTGAGTTTATACTTTAAAGGCTATTATGTTTGAGTCTAGGCAAACGTTCCGTTGCAAATAGGCTAGTATAGCTATGGCTAACACATAGACCTAGGTATAGGATGTAAATGGTTAAGTCTTGTTGTTTGTTTAGTCATGGATCCACAACACGTTTTTTTACCCCCTTAAAATTTGGTGCCTCACATATTGCTTGCATTATTGAGGTAACCTAGAAATACAACTTTTTTACAAAGTAACACTTATAAGCTTGCTGTACAACTTTGCAGGAATCATACACCTACAAAGACCCCATCACAGAGTTCTTGGAACATCTTTATGTGAACTTTGACTTTGAAAGCGCTCGCCTCAAACTGCACGAGTGCGAGATCGTCCTGTACAATGACTTCTTCCTCATCGCTTGCCTCGAAGATTTCATCGAGAATGCCAGACTCATGATCTTTGAGACATTCTGTCGGATCCACCAGTGCATCAGTATTCAGTGAGTTGTGTCTATACTTTATGAGATTTATAATATTTTGTATTCGGTGGTGTTATTAATTATTTAGCTAAGTAAAAGGTATAATTCGGGTAAATTAAACATAATGGCTACTTATAAACTATTGAGCTGCGCCTAAAATACAAAATTTTTCAATTTTTATTTGTTATAGCTTAAAAAATAATACTTAATATAAATTCAGCTGGTTTTGTCATAAGAAAGCTCCCATTCTCTTTTTAATCTATCGAACACTCATCCTCTTTTCATCTATGCATTAAACTATGTGCCACGGTATGTTGGTGTAAAGCGACTAAGATCAATGTGATAGTTCGTTGAAAAGAAAAATAAGGGATTGAAAGAAATAAATGTTATACTTTTTGTCAACTCTTAATAATGTTAATTTTGAATTGCTTACAGTTTTATTGCAATTAATAACTAGGCCTATCCTATATTGAGTTCAAAATGATGAATTGTCACGACGGTCTTCTGACCAAAAATGAAGAAAAGTGACTTACTGATTGAAGAAAAAAACCACAAGGTTTAATTTAACTTAACACCATTCAAATTATTTTACATATCTTTTATTTCTTTACCATTAGAATTTTTAAAGGTGTTTGTTATGGAACAAGCCAAAATCTCGTCTTGTAACTGTCTAACATTTACCTTTTGTTAGATAGCATCATTAATAGATACCCCAATGCCTAATGGCAATGACCAATGACCAAGGGTCCGGTCCGTAAAGAACCAAACCAGCAATCTTCAGATTTCAAGGCTGGATCACTATAACCTTTCAGCTATCCATACAGATTTTTCCTTCATATTTTCACGTGTAGTTTGTAATACAGATAAATGAGTTTTGTAGGTTTAGGCCCTAGACATGGAAATAATGAATGTGCGTTTGTTAAAAAGTTCAACCCGTTTAGTTTCATACAGGAGATTGATTGGTAGGCTATTTTGGTGAGTTGTTTCAACATGGCATTCTCTAGGAACCATTTCATCTTGGTGATCAATGACTTCTCTGGTAGTCTATGATTTTTAAGTAATATTGACCTTGCAGGTAGATTCAATAGCCTATCTTGAGTAACTTGACGCGAGCAAAGAATTTAGATTTTGACATTTCTAGGAAACTATTATAATTTAGAATTAGAACATAATCCATCAAATTAACTGTACAGCCAACTAAACTGAGTTCACTTAAGAGAATCAAACTACTCATGGACAATGGAGAACAACAAGAGAATGGAGTAATCATATGTTGATTTGTATTGTAGGATGTTGGCGTCAAAACTGAACATGGAGCCTGATGAGGCAGAGTGTTGGATCGTCAACTTGATCCGTAACGCTCGCTTGGACGCCAAGATTGATTCCAAGTTGGGACATGTCGTGATGGGAGCACAACCACTCAGTCCCTACCAACAGCTGTTGGAGAAGGTAGACTCACTCAGTGTACGCTCAGAGGCTCTGCTCACACTCATCGAGCGCAAGCTCAAGTCTCGCACACAGGATGTGAGTATACTCTTACCTTTGTTGAGGTTTATTAGAGTGCAGATGTATTTACAGTTGTATGATTTCTTGGGGCTTCATATGATCTCTGTCACACACATTGAGGGACTAATCAAGTTGCACATGATACGGTAGTAAAAGTTAAAAACTGTGTATAGAAATTCAGTAATTAACTGAACTAACCAAAACTTCACATCATATCACATTGTAATATTCAAAGTTTGCTCATTCACCAAAAAGTATTCACCCATTTTATGAAAACGTGCAATGTTAAGAAACTCAGCACAACATAGGGTATGAGGAAGAGATTGAGAAAAACAGGATTGCAAACAGGTAATTGGGCAGTAATGTATTTTCCACTTTGTGTTGTGGGTATTAATGATTAACTGAATTCAAAAAGATGTTTCCCCTTAAAATACACCTGTTTACCCACCAAGCACTTCGGTATTATCTAAAAATGTAAACCTTAAAAGATTCTAATGTAAACTTTGCATCAACCATAATATAGCTGAGTTAAAATAAGGATGGAAAATGGCACCTTTTCACATAGTCTAAGATGATTTATTGAGTATTTTTAAGCTAAAAGGTCTATAATTAATATTAGAGATATTTTTGCATGCTGTTTTAAAAAGAAAATCGTTTATTTTTTTTATTTGGCCTACTATCATAACATACATTTTTACAAAAGTGATCAAACCAGTTTTTTTTTTTTTTTAGAAAAAATAAATTATAGTTTGTTTTGTTGTAACTAATAAAATATGCTTTGGAAGCTGAGGTAAAACAACGTGGTACATCTTATTCAAACTTGTTTCAGATTCGTTGGGGAGCACAGGACTTTGCAATCAACGCTTAGTCTCTAAAATAAGTTTATCTTTCAATAAAATGGTTTACTAAAATAAACTTCAAATTTATTTAAACTCCTCTGCCTCTCTGATACAATAATTAAAATGCCAAAAATAAAATCAATCACTTACAATTTTTTGGGAAGGAGAACTAAAATTCCAAGACAAGTGCTATTTTTTTAGCTTGTCAAAGACCACCCACAGTGCAACAGCTCTTTATCGGGAAGGTGGAATTAGCCTTCCAGTATATAACCGACTCTAGAAATTCTCGTAACCTCAATTTAAGAAACTAACCCCAACCCTCGCCCTCAGCTAGCTTTTATATATTTTGGCGGCCACATTTGGCAACTCTGAAAATGACTCCAGATCAGCTACTAGCTTTCCTTTAAAATATAACTTTAAAAGTAGTTATAGGCATTTTACTGTAAAATGACACTTGGACCTTACTATCCACACTCATCAATTAGTTTATGTTTTGTCTAAAAATGGAAAATCCTCAAAATTGTCCTTTTGCAAGTTTTGGTCTCGATGAAACTGGCATTCCTGCAGATAAATCCTTCCACCTCCTCAAAGAGTCTCACCTAATTCTAATTATTTCATCTAACTATTATCACTTCCAAAACTCAACACTTGGTCTCTTCAGTTTTCTTATTCACTACCTTTTTTTTCTCTGGCAAAAATCGTCGCACACCAGTTACCAGCAGGTTAGGGTCGACCAATGACAGGTCTTGATGTGACACCAAAGTTGTCAGTGCTGCCACCACTAGGCCTGCAGTGGTACCAACAACGGCGTAGTACATGTACGAGATGCGGAACACTTGAGGAACATCAGGACCAAACTCCACAACAGAACCAGGACCTATGTAGTCACTTGTGTATCTGAAACAAACGAAAAATTAGTTTTAAAATTATTTTGGATGAATGAATATGAAAGTAACATTTTGAGAAAGTAGTTGCTGCTGTTGCTAATTTAACAGTTGTGAATGTTTTGTTTCTCATAGAATCGGAAGAAAGTGCAGACAAATTTAATAATCAAAAGGTCATCGAATCGATCCTCAAAAAAGTCCAAAAGCATAGGGTAAACCTATCTTCGCTCATTGGGGTTTTAATAAATTGTCCTGGCTAAAGAAACAGCTAGTTTTAATCTGTAAAGCTTCAAGGCATTTAACATATTTTACCTAACCCGCCATGTTAAACTTCCCTTCCCAAGCGTGATGTATACAACTTCTTTAATTCTCGAGTGATGTAAAGTTGAAAAACTCACTCGGTGAGGTAATGAAACTCATTTAAATAACATTGAGTCGTTAACTTAAAAAATATACCTCTATGGAGCCAATGACGTTCAACGCTAGAAATCAGCTGTACACTTGGATTTTATTGTTATGCTTTGAAGAATTTTCCTAACCTAGCTTTTGTTTGTAAATGAAGTATGAACTTTACTGTTAGAAGATGAGTGAAATGGAATTTGAAAAATATATTTCGTAACCTCCTGTACATTGTCGGGTCAGGTAAAATCTTGTATGTTACACGTTACGCAAGAGCTTGTTTACATCACTTAGGAGAATTATGCAACTCGCTTCCGCTCGTTGCACATTATTCACCTGCGTGATGTAACAACGCTCTTACTACACTTGTAATGTAAATAGCTATAACCTCATTCTACTCTCGTTCTCCATTCATGCATTAAAAATAACCAGTTGCGTGCATGTTTTAATTAGTAATAAATAATACTAGTTTTACAATCTCAGAACTCTTTTTAAAAGTGTGGTTTGGGAATTTAAACGATTGCATAAACCATTTCAACAAAAGCACTCAGTGGATTGTTTAGTTTAAGTGTTGGCTTACTGTGGATTAACAGTGAAGTTGAAATGACAACCACTTGTGCTTGTCACTTTTCCTGGAAAGCGTATTTTTTCCTCCGCTACATTGAGCTGAGATCCGATGACAATCCAAAGAGAAGTCACTAGGCTCGACACAGCTCCCGCTAATGCTCCCTACAAAAATAAATATTTTTATCAACAAAGCCAACATACTGCCTAAATGAAATGTACAATTATTAAAACAACTTGAGCATTGATGTAGAGTACTGTAAAAACTGTGGACAATTTAATTTAGTTTAAGGCACAGAGAAGTAAGATACAGAGGAAACATTCAATGGTACACTTAAGTGGTGCTAGTGCTGGTGTCTAGGGCAATGACGCCCCTCGCCATCATATACCACACCTGGGTGGAGGAAGACCCTGTACCCTGTGCTATAGGAATTTCCGCACAGTGCTCACTGTTTAGGCTCTTCCTTGCTCGTCACAAGTATATTTCCGCCCCAACATACCAGAGCTGAAAGTGAATGGTTTTCCATAAGCTTGTACCCTCTGTATGTTACTTCTGTGTTTAAGGTCCACCTAGCTTAAATTTAACCAGTTTATATCATAATAGGACCTAAGTTGACTCTTTTATTGACTAATGGTGGTTTTATTCAGAATTTTACCTTAGCATTGGTCCACGGTGAGAGAAGGCCAAGTATAAAAAGGGTGAGTAGAGGTCCATAGGCGACCCCTCCCAAACTGACAGCTACCTACCAACAACACACTCACTGATGAATACAGATAATGGTGGACATAGACAACCAAAGATGTAAGAAGCATGATTCTCATAGAAATAAATGTAGAGACAATGTTTTTTTAGTTTTCATAAGAAATAAACATAACGAGGACATCTTGCTCATCCTATACATGATTTATTTAAAATTTGAGGTAAATAGACTTATGTTTTAATTACATAGACACATAGACTTATGTTTTAATTACATAGACACATAGACTTATGTGTTGTAATTACACTACATTTTGAGAGAAAAACTTAAAACATTTAGGCTAATCTATTCATACAGTACCTGCAATGATTTGCAAATTACAAACAAATTGTTGAACATTTTGTTACTGGCCAAAAAAGAAGTAAAAATTGCAAGAATGTAAAAGTAACATACTATGTTAACTACATGGTGTAAAATGAAATATTGGGGGTTGAGTGATTTATAATTAGATTTAAAGTAAACATGCAGTTGTAAATTACAAGGGTCACTTTTTAAGTAAGGACTGTTTGTGTACCATAGCTTTTTAGCCTCCTATACCAGTGATGGTTTACAGCTTGTTGATGCTAGAAAACCAAACTATTTGAGTCGCTCTTAAAAAATGTTAAATATAATAACATTTCTAAAACCCCTGATAGTCATTTTAGAACACCCCATATTTTCAAAAGTTTATGTGAGAAAATTCGTACAATGATCAAACCAATCATAGTAGTACAACGTAAAACTGACTACAATGGGTTGATTATATTGTACATTTGTTGCAAAACAACATCAAATACTTGCAGGACTCCGCCGAGATTTTCAACGAAGAACACCAAACTGACGCAGATGGATCCGATCACCACTACTATCAGTTTGAGCCACAATGTTGCGTGTTTGTCTGTGGTGCTCAGTGGCTGGACAAAGTCTGTATACACTGTACCTGCCACTGCGTTCAGGCTTGCAGACATCGTGCTGTCAAACAAAATATAGTTTTGTTTTAGAAAAAATATATATATTGTCATAATAGTGAAAATATAGTCATATATATTAGAGTACTTTCCAGTTCATTACAAGGGCAAAAAGTAACTTGTCAACCCTCACTCGAGTGCTGGTGTATTATTATTGTATAGTGTATATTGTATAAAGTATAGTGTATAGTGTGTATATTATGTATAGTATTTCATCACTAGGGCGGAAAGTGATGATCATCACTTTACGCCCTAGTGATGAAATACTACCTATCTAGATTCCCATCACATCTAAAGCCTCCCAAATGTGATCTCCTTTGGCCACCTTCAAATAAATATTTTTACTTACCTCAGTGTTGCTGTAAAAACGCCCGCTATGAAAAGTCCTGTCAGACCTCGGAAATGATATCCTGCCAGACGACTGACGAACAACGGGAGAAGCTGTCCTGGGTTGTGAACTACCTTCATCAAGGAAGAAACATTTACTAGGATGCAAAAATGTTGAAAGAACTTACTTAAAAGCATACCATCATTTAAATATTGTACTGCAGTTTTAAAATTGCTAAACATAGAATCATATATTAAAAAAAAAAGTAGGATAAAGATTCATGATCATACACCATGTTTAGTTGTGATCTAGTTATGTTCTAGCCAAATAAAATCGTCAAATGCATATTTTCACAGTATATTTGATTCTAAACCGTCTATATTTATATTGTAAACAAATTCTTCTTCTTTTTGGATTTTTTGTAAACCAGTTACTAATTATTATACTAGACAGTGCAAACCATGTAATCTATACTATTATATAAAAATCTAGTGGTGTCTGTATGTGTGTTACTAATAGGCACATGAACTACTGAACTGACTGGGCTTAAATTTTACAAAAATATAGCTACCATACCAAGGACCATTATAGGAATATTCGCACTTTGATACTGACCTTGGGCTTTGCCCCTTTGGCTTTAAAAGTTCTGAGGTGAGGATTTTAAAAGTAAATATTGATTGGTCTCCATGGCTGCCATGAGAACAAATACAATGTTTGCAATTTGCTATGCCACCTAAATGTAAACAAGCTGAACTGTCAAACCACATTAATTCACAATTCCACAGCTGGTTTATAAATAGGCATATAATATTCTCTACTATCATGTGACATGTTTATATATTCTTATATTTGATGGTTCATTGATTATTGATTTTATGAAATAAGTGAGATTGTATATCTGTTGCTGTATCCAACCCTAACTAATTATTTAAAATTTCGCTAATGGGAATGATTGTATTGAAAGATTTTGTAGTAAAAAATAGTGAAATTATAGTCACATTTACTTGAATCATTTTAACATTTTTTAATACTTCAAATGAGTTTAGAGTAGGGCACAAACACCTTAAAATTGAAACTTTTTTCCCAAGGAGATAACTAATTGTATATTTTTGCCATTTTGAGAGAAATATTGGTCACACAATTTGTCTTTTCACACATTTTTAAATCATAATTTCACCATACTACCCATAGATTAGTTATGATGTTTTCTAATCCAGAGGTAGCTACTACCTATCTATATTATAACTTTTGACACTTCCTGTAGATTTCACATTCTATTCTAATAATGAATAACTTTTTACGAGCGTTCCATGGTCATTACATGTATATTTTCAACCAGGTTCCTCTTAACTTAACCGACCCTTGACATAAACATTGTTTGAATGAAGTTAAATTTCCTAATTCTAAGCTGATATACAAATATTTCAATTTGAAAACAACAATAAAAAACTAAGTTGTATATATGCACTTGCCTTCTGTGCATGAATAGTAGGAGTTATAAATAGTAGAGCTAAGTATGTTTTTGTTTGTTTTAGTAGTAATATTGTTAATGTTTTTGTTTGTTCACATAGTATATAATAAGATATTTTTATATTCAATGCTTAGTAAACAATGCTTTTTAGAAACTAAATCACATATTTTATTTAATTCAAACCGTAATATTAACTAGATTTTGTAAATTATTGTTTGTCTATGTTTGATTTTATCATTTAAAGGTAGGCTAAGTAAAAGAGTTTGAGTTTTTTTTATTTGTTTTATTTTTTGAAAATGTTTTTTTTTATGTAATTAGTAAGTTAAAAGTTTTTGATAGGTACATTTATTGGAATTTAACTTATTTTACTCTTTTTTTCATGTCAGATTTCAAAACGCACCATTCATACATCAACCCCGGACGAAGGACGGGTCCTCTGCTAGTATTTTAAATAAACTACAAAATATCTGGTAACACTTATTAATATTGTTTAACCTATACAACGTTTCCAGCATCTACAAAAATATCTAAAAAGTATCAGGTTTGCTACACTTATAATTATGAAAAAGGAACAAACAAGGAAAATGAGGTGATGAAGTCTTACATTCCCTCGGCACTCCTTACCCCAGCCGCAAGAGGATCACAGGAACTGTAGTAAGCAAACATGAGCAATCCGAGGAAAACTGTAACGCATTTAATGACTGCAATCCCAAGAGCACTGTATGTCATCACCCTGTCAACAAGAGAATCACCGAATGTTGTGAGTTTAGTTTCTTGGCCACTAAACTCCTTCAAATTCATAAAATGTTGTTATCATAAAAGGAAAATTTATGGACAACATAAACATTTTTTTCAAAACTTGCTGTTTTATTTTTTAAGCTTGTGTCTATCTATCTTGTTAGCACTACATTAAACAAAATCCTACTTAATATTATAAGTGAGAAAGTTTACATGTATGGATGGATGGATGTTTGTGACAAGTAAACACAAAAAATACTAAACCGACAGTGTTGAAATTCGGTATGATGATAGCTCACGTTCCTGATTAACATATAGACATATTATTATCTCAAAAATCCTTTCAGGCTCCGCCCCAGTGGCCCTGGAGTTTCTCATGTTAACCTTATGAGTATTCATAAAAGGAATTAACACGTTCAGTGCTGCAGGCATTCCAACAGGCTCTCGTCAATGGCGGCGAAGCCCTGCCGCGGCACCGTAACAGCGAACACAATTGGCATTCAAATATTTCAATCTGACGAATAACAAAAGAGCAGCGGTGATTGTACTACGTTATCCCGAGATTGGACGTAGTTCCCTAAAACACCCAAAGGTAGCAGCACTGCCTGGATCAGTTGTCAGACGGGATTTTATGGGAAATTTTAGTACCAACCTACACCAAAATAGCAACGATTTTAACGTTCCCTGGCAATGGCTGAGCTCATACTGAACTAATGTAGTGGGCGCAACTACTAATGTGTTGAGTGCAACTACATCAATTATTGATGTAGGCCAATAGGAGCGCTCGTCAGCACTGAACATGTTAAAGATTTTTGTCAGCTGTTTTAACCGCACAAGTTGGTTCTATGATATTGAATAGCAATAAAAAGTTATAAGGTTTACCAACAGGGTGTATCAGCACTATTTTTTTTTTTGCATTTATAACAACAGCTAATTAGAACCAACTACTAACTAGCAACAAAAAGATGTGGTACACAATGAGAACTTTACTTTTTTCCATAGTTTAGGTGCAGTGGTAGAACATATGGCTATGATAGATGTGCTACTATAGCATACCATATAGATTAAAAGAACCAAATTTTCTTAAACCGTGTCCTCTCCCAACACTGCAATAAGCATTTTATACTTATATGCCAACCCCGTACGAAGGACGGGTACTTTGCTAGTCATTCCATAAGTGTTGAGACAAAATTTATTTCCCAAAACACATGATTTTTTTTTACGAATTATTTAATCTATTTTATATTGTTTTTTTAAAACTACTCAATAAATATTTCAACCTATCATTTAACCTCATCAGTTTATCTCAGTATATGGATTTTTAATCTATTTGTCAAAAATAATTCAGATATCCAACCATTGAATTTAAAAGACAAATTCAACTTTTTGAACAGAAATTGAAATTACTGATATATTCCACAACATACAGAAACAAACCTGAAAGCTTTTTCTCGAGAGGGTACTGACAGGTACTTCTGAACTACACCAGGGTGGAAACAAATCGTTGATATCCAGTTTATGGTGGTTCCTAAGGTGATTGTCCAAAATGTGTTTCTAGCAAGTGGATCTGGGTCAAAACTGCAAAATATAAACAACTATAAAACAATACATAGAGAATATTATAGCTGTCTTACCTTATGAGGACAAAGAATAGAATGATTTGGCTTTTCTTCAAAACTTTGTATACAGAATAGCCCAAAGGGGATTCCAAGGACAACCAAAAATTTATAGCCTAGGTTCATGAACTACAATTGAACAAAATCCAAGCCTCATCAGTTTTATTGTTTTTGCTTATCCAGAACACACACCCAACACTAGTTGCTGTGTGTACACAGTTTTTCACAGTACGTGGTTATTCTCGGATTTTAGTGGCATATCCATAAAATTTGAATGGGGTGGACAGTTTTCTGTTAAGCGTTGATAGAATTTCTTTCATATAAAAGAAATACCACTGGTGTAGAAATAACAAAAGCATAAACATAGTACAGACGAAACCCACCTATTTGTAATATATAATACGTTAAATTACGAGTAAAGTTGTAGAAACAACACAAACTCACTTGAACAGTTCGAGCCTGTGCGCTGATTTGCTGCGAGAGAAGACTTCCCCCACTCCCCCCACCTTGAGACATCCGAGGATGATGACAACGGCAACAGAGACAGCCGTAAACACGCTCTGCAGAGCAACTGTCCAAGCCACGCCTTTAAGTCCACCCTACCCAACATCAGTTGATTATACACCTTCAAAAGTCTGTAGTGTTGACTTGACTTGCAAGATAAATCATCAACATTTTGTATTGAGTTTTTGACATCTCTTTTTGATTTTTTTTCTTGCTTTAGTTATAAAGAGTTTTGTTAAAGTGTTTTTGCAAAGTGGTCTCGACACCTACAAGTATCTGTTAACCTCGTTTTAAACAAAAAAAAGGTATTATCTTTGACTATAAACAGAATGATATATTCTGTATATAGTCAATGGTATTATCATACCAAAATAATACCTATCTGTACAGTCATTATGAAAAATTAGGATTGTTAAGGTTTAAAAAGAAACCATTTTAATACTCACAAATGTAGTATAGAAGATACACACGGCAGAAACAGCTGGGGCGACAATATGAACTGGCAACCCAGTAACTAAAAAATAAAATAAACGGTATCAGCAATCTGAAATACTTTCTCTCATTAGCTTGTCCACAACCTTTATCATGGGTAAGCAGTGGGAGAAACTATGCTACTTTATAGGGAAAGTCACAAAAGCTGCGATACTTAACTTTTGAACCATAATTGGGCAAAGTAACTATGGGGGGTTGCACTATTTTGTTGCAGAGTTATAAGGACCATAACACATTAATTTTAATCAAAACCAGGTTTTTCCTAAAATCCGATTTCTTGTTATTTTATATTTTTTAATGGTTATATAATATAAGTTACAATTTTTGAACCGTAATTTTTATGGAATATGATTCCCATCATTTTGTTCATAATTTAAATGACCATAACATACTAATTATTTTAATCAATTCCGGCTTTTTTTATATTATTCCGATTTTTAATTGTTATTTTATGGGAAAATAACATAAGTTACAACAACTTTTGAACCATAATTTTTACAGAGATGGGTTTTCTACCATTTTGTTCAGAATTTTAAGTACTATAATATACTAAATTTTTATCAAAATCGTTCGGGCCATTTGGAGAAAATCAGATTTTTCCGTTATTTTATGGGTTTTATGGGAAGATCAACATAAAAAATCAAACTTTCTAAAAAATAAAAAATAAACCTGGAGATGCCATGGATTCGTACCTACATACCAATTACCAAATTTCATCAAAATCTGACTACAGGTGTGGTCTGTAGCTCTGTATTCATCCCCACACACACACACACACACACACACACACACACACACACACACACAGTCTGAGTCATCACTTCGAAAACCACTTTTTTTTGGGCTCAGGGGAACCCAAAACGGATACATCCACTCAAAACTGAAACTCGAAAATTTTGACAAAAACAATTACTTTCTAAAATATTACTACATATAAGGGGAGAAATTAAAACTCAATTGCATTTTAAAATTTAGATTAACCGCCTTTATTAGATGCTGAATTAAAGATGTCCGCAAAAGAAAAAGATTACAAACATTGTATAAAAAAAAAATGTTAAATATAAATACATTCACTAATTTAAGATATTTTTTTTAGTTTAAGCGATTAGATCTGTTAAAAGGTTACTAAACACATGCTTCATTATGAAGACGTTTTGCAAAAGATGTGTTAAAGTATGAACAAGTGGTCATATAACTAAGGTTGGGTATAATACTGCCCATAATCAGATTTCACTGTAAACAGACATTAAAATAAGAAAGAAATAGGAAGAAGAAGTGGATGAAGGAAATTGAAAGAGTAACGTACCTGACTCCCACATTGTCCTCTCTCATCCCCTACAGGTTCATGTCCCTTCCCATACAGTCATGTCCCATCCCATACGGCCATGTCACATCCCATACGGCCATGTCCCATCCTATTCAGTCATATCCCTTCCCATAAAGTCATGTCCCATCCCATACAGCCATGTCCCATCCCATACGATCATGTCCCACCCCATACAGCCATGTCCCATCCCATACAGACATGTCCCATCCCATACAGCCATGTCCCATCCCATACAGCCATGTCCCATCCCATACGATCATGTCCCATCCCATACGATCATGTCCCATCCCATACGATCGTGTCCCTTCCCATACAGCCATGTCCCATCCCATTCAGCCATGTCCCATCCCACACAGCCATGTCCCATCCCATACGATCATGTCCCTTCCCATACAGCCATGTTCCATCCCATACTGCCATGTCCCATCCCATACAGCCATGTCCCATCCCATACGATCATGTCCCTTCCCATACAGCCATGTCCCTTCCCATACAGCCATGTCCCATCCCATACGATCATGTCCCTTCCCATACAGCCATGTTCCACCCCATACTGCCATGTTCCATCCCATACAGCCATGTCCCATCCCATCTGATCATGTCCCTTCCCATACAGCCATGTCCCATCCCATACGATCATGTCCCTTCCCATACAGCCATGTACCATCCCATTCCGTCCCACTCTGTCATGAAATCCTCCATTTGGTCCCGTTTTGTCAAATTCACATCCCCTTGCTTCTTCCTATCCTCTCACTTAAGAATATTTCGGTCGAATAAATAATTATTTACCTTGGTTAAGTACAAGAGCTGGCACATAAATCACCACTGGAATGTAAAATATCTGGAAAGGAAAAATAAAGTTTATGGTATCGTCCCCATTTATCTCTTTGTTTATAGTGTTATAAATTAGATTCATAGAAAAATAATATATTTTGAAAATTAGTTATGAAAGAATTTTTTTAAACAATAAGTAGATACACACTCGCTATAATTATACTATAAAATACAAATTAGTAAAAATAAGTAGAGTACTTCAAATATTGTTTAGGTAAAAAACCAACTTATACTTGAACAAATTATCTATATAAATATTATAAATCAAACTATTATATTATGCTTAAATAATTTCTACTGACAAGTAAACAATGAAACCCTTAAATATACAAAAACAGAGAAATTAGTATTGCTTAACCCTGATTTCAGCAATTTCTTTCAGTACCTACCAGAGGGGTAAAAAAAACATTGAATTTGCTATAGCATTTAAATTTAGTAAAGAAATGATAATAAACTTACCAGATACAGTGAAAATATTGTTGATCCTAGAACTCTAACTTTGTGATTGAATCTAAGCTCCAAATACTGCAAAATAAAAAAGATACATCCTTTAAAGCTGCCAGTTTTTTCTTCAGTGTACTGAAAATTCAGTGTATAGACATAGACTAACCAACAGAAGTAGACTTCTTATCCCATCGTAAATTTTGAAGCTCGTTTTTCGTGTCTAGGTCATGTCCACCACTGGGCACTAGTGTTGACAAAATTCTGTTTCTATTGTTTTAGGGTTAATTCCATGATTTGTGCTTTACTGTTTGGTTAACTAGAAGTCGTGTTATTGTTTATGATTACATAGTTTTATTTGGTTAAACGAGGTTTCAAATGACTGAAATAACCCAAAACAAATTTTAAACAAAACACAAGCTTTAGCCGGACGGATGACTAGCGTCTCATTTTCCCCTTCCAGAAACTGATGAGAACCTTTTCTGCGAAAGAGTGGGGGTTTGTGGGGGAGCCCCTCACGTCGATTTAAGAAAATCTTTAAATTTATTTTATAATATTTTAGTTAGAAAATTAACTTTTTAACTATAAAATTAATTTTAAAATTTAAAATTATAAAATTAAATTGTCATAACCTAACTTAACCAACCAAACTTGCTGATAATATAAAAAAGATATAAAATAAAAATCGAATAAAGGTTTACTTATAATTAATTTTTAATTATAAAATTAATTTTAAAATTTGTTATTATAAAATTAAACTGCCATAACCTAACCGAACCAACTTAACTTGCTGATAATATAAAAAATATATAAGTTAAAGTAAAAATCTAATGAAGGTTTACTAATTTTAAAAAATAGTTCCTGGTCATAAATAAAATTATAAATGCCTCAAATTCTAACAAAAGATGTACAGTTAAGAAGTATTCACAATCTAACCAAAACCTTGGATAAAAACTTAGTGTCGCCGGCGGGTTTCGAACTGGGACCTCCAGATCACGAGTCCAAGACGCTATCAACTACGCCACGAACACTGATATGGAATCATATCGTCTCGTTACGGTAATGGTGTTCCCCAAAGAGCAGAGTGACGTCACACCCCCCACTCCTCTAAAGAGGTTCTCATCAGTTCCTGGAAGAGGAAACCGGGACACTACACCGGACGGAACTAACAATAACATTGGCTTCAGCTTCCACAGGGATGAGAAATCTTCTAAAGGAGTATGTTTTAATTGGTTTTATCTATGGTAGGCCTATAGACTGCACTGCTTATAAGAACCTTTCTAATAGAACCATAGATAAAACACACTCTACTCCCTGCTTATTAGATTTCTCATCTTTATGAATCAGCTGAAAACAATTGTATTGTTTAGTTCCATCCGTTGCACTATGTAGAGGTCGTGTTTTATTTACAATTTGTTTCTTGTTATTTCAGTAATTTAAAACCTCGTTTAACCAAATGAAACAAGCTAATCACAACCAATAAATTGTCCACTAGTTATAACAAACAGTAAAGTACGAATCACAAAATTAATATTAAAATATAGTAGAAACATTCTTCGACACTGACACATAAAACATATAGCCTACTATTAAACCCCATAGTAGTATGTTTTCTGTGCTAGCGATCAGTGTCACCAACATGACTAGACACAAAAGACAAGCTTCAAAACTTACAATGGAATCAGAAGTCTACTTGTGTTAATTAGTCTATGACAGCATTTATTATTAAAGGATTTTTGTAAGGAGGACATGGTTTTACCAGAATGGGAAAGAGTCCAATCCCTTTCTTAACTCAAACCTTTCCTTTGGTTTGAAAATGATGTCATTAATAGTGTTTTTTTTAATGTTTGTTCAGAGTGTGAAGTTTTGTATTTCTTGTTTCAAAGCCATCTAAAAAGTGTAATTTAATTTTTATGTAAACCCTCATCTATTGCTGCGGCCAATGAGAATCCTTAAACATAACAATATTAATAAACTCAACTAATGTTACCTCAAATAGTGATGTTATTTGAAGATTGTAAAAGACAGGGATAAAGAAGCATATGTTGACAACAGCTACTATCACATCACTGATCAGCACTGCCAAGTACTGGGTCCCGTACATGTACACTTCTGCTGGTACCCCCACCACAGTCACACCAGATACATGGCTGTAACAACCCAGCATGATTTGTAGCTGCTAAATTCTTTAATGTCTATCATGCACTAAGTAATTGGTATTATAATTCAATTACATATACTAGTGAGGAAAAAGGTTGCAGATGATTCGCAGCACAAATAATTAAAAGGCTTGATATTTCATCTCTCTCAGAGGCTTCTTCAGCCACAGCGATTGTTGTAATACATGAGGACGAGGGGGGCAGTGGTCTCTGCCGTAGACACCAAAGCAACTAATGCTAGACACCACTTAAGTGTACCACTGAACGTTTCCTTTGTATCTTACTTCTTTGTACTACAGTTATATAAACAATAATTAATTTCTAGCTTAATGACCTAAGGTCAAGAATTTGTAAAATTCTCAGCACTGTGATTAGATTTCTGTGGTCTGAGTACTATGAGTCTGTGAACTATTGAAGTCAATGGCCAGTTGACGTACAAGAATGAAGTGTTTGGACATATAAAATGCACAAGGGTGGAGGGAGTTTGTAGTTGGTTTCAAACTTGTGCACAACATTTTCAATGGTATCAATGGTTCAATCAATTATTCAATGGTTCAACGGCAGAATGTTCGTTTTGTATCAAAAGAAGTGAGCAAGGTTAGAAGGGCTTTGCATGCGGATTGCAGTATGACTGAACAAGATAGATGGTCAAACTAATAGGAGTCATCTCTATATGACTATCAAGAACTCTACAAGTTAGCAAGTCTAAAACACAAGCACACGAAGTTTCATCAAAATCAATCACCGTCTCAATGGAAACTGAAGAACCCCCGATACCAGCCCCATAATGCAAATGTATGGCCTTCTGCAAACTTCCTAAGCTTCTTATGCACATTTATGACTGGAAACAGTTAACAACATAGTTTGGCCACCTTCCCACAGAAAATTGGAACGAGCTTCAATAATCTTCTATCTCAATATTTTCAAATACCGATACTAGCTGCCTCTTAGGGATGGAAAAAAGCTAGAATAGTAGTGGATGAATTAAGGAACACAACGTTGGTTTCATATTTGAATTAGTTTGCTTGGCCGCAACAGAAGCCCTACCTTAATTTACGACAAGCCTTATACAAAAAAATATTTCTACCTGGCAATGAGAGACATGGTAGCTGGGAAGACATTAATGTTTCTGTCGCCCAGGATGTAGGCGTTTGCAGTTGCCCTCTCTTTTACTCCATGGTACAGACTGACCGCAGCACTGAGGGAAAGAACAGCACCAAATACACAGTACTCGACCCACTCTAACTGAGCCAGCTGATCGACGTTAGGTGCCAATGTTGCATTCAACATGGTGTTGGATCTGCTCAAACATATCTTAAATTTATTTCATCTATTCACTGTAGTTTTTGCAATTTTCTTCCTTTTACAATTGCAGAAAAGAAACCAGTAGATTGCAAGTACAGTAAAACTCCAACCATTCAAATCAATTGGTACTGTTCCACATTTGTGTAACCAAAAATCCAAATAGATGGATTTTTACCGGAGTTTTTTTATGGAAAATCGGTTTAGTCTATCTGAGCTTTTCGATCTCAAATACGTGTCTGCAAAGATTTTGCAATTCACAAATTACGCTTTTCTCGTGATTGCAAAGGACAATGATGACTGATAATCGCGGGAGATGTGTAATAGACCGTGGGAGGATATTGCCGGGGCACAGCTTCTGCCTTCTTAAATAGCAATACTTATTATTGTGGTTTTAGGTTTTTAAATTCTGTGAGGTGTTCAGATGGTTGGAGATCCAACGTTCTACTATAGATTCTAGATGTCTCTATTGGATGTTAATATAAAATTAAAAAATATATAGACTTTTGATGGACCTTGACTCCCACCAAAAAGTTGTTTCCAATTAATTTTAGAATAGAAAAAGTAATGCAGTTGAATTGATCTACCAAGAGAGTGTACATATACAACAATGATGATCTAATGATTTCTATCAAATAAGATTTGTAAACTATATATAGCTTCTAATCTAAAAAAAAAACTAAATCTAATATATAAAATTCTCGTGTCACAGTGTTTGTCTGCAAACTCCTCCGGAACGACTTCACCGATCGTTATGAAATTTGGTGTGTAAATTCTGTAGGTATGCGAAGAGGAAGTAAACTATTTCCCGTTTCGAAATTCTTAAAAGGGCTCCGCCCCAGTGGCTCTGGAGTTTCCCATGTTAACCTTATGAGAAATGGAATTAATGAATCTTAACAGCTGTTTCAATTAAATAGCATTAAAGTTACAAGGATTACCAACAGGGTGCAGCACTATTATTTCTTTTACATTTATGACAACAGCTAATTTGCAACCAAAAGGTGAGTGAGCGTAGCGAACGAACTTCAACCTGGAGGCGAGTGAGCGTAGCGAACGAGCTAACCTGAAGGCAAGTGAGCGCAGCGAACGAGCTCCAACCTAAAGGTGAGTGAGCGTAGCGAACGAGCTCCAACCCAAAGGTGAGTGAGCGTAGCGAAGGAACTTCAACCAGGACGTGATTGAGCGATGCGAACGAGATCATCTTGAAAATTAAACGTAACGGTACTTTCTTTCCATCGGTCTGTCTTAGGGGAAACCTATAACTTAGGCGATACGAAGTTCGCTGGGTCAGCTAGTAGGAAAATATAATTTTGATTCAACTATTCAACTAATGTTTGAAAAAATCTGTTACAGCTGGTCCTTCTAGTGTGAGACCTTTAATTTAATAATTTAAGACATAAAATTATGCAGATCGGTTTGGTTGAAGAGTCTCTGGAATCTTAAAAAAAATACATTGTTCGTACATGTTTTAAATTGGGAATGGTTAACTTCATGAAATCGCAGCAACGTGATACAGGTAAGCTAGTAAGTAGTAAAAAAATCAATAATAATACAATGAGGTGAACAGTGTCTAAATTATCCTAGTTCAAAGAACTAGATTGGCAATTTTGCTCTGTCAAGAAATTATTTTGTAACAGGTTTTAAGAACTTTGATTATTACCCATTGTCATAGTGACTAAACTGCATTAGTGATACAAAATCTAAATGTGGTGATAAGAAACTTGATTGCCTTACAATGGTAAAAATTATTCTGTATTATAGTCTCCAGCTTGTGTGTAAATATAAACTAGGGATAGCTGTGAAAATCAATTCTTTCTTATCTCGCGTTTGATGACCCAATATGTAATTAAAATACTTTTGTTACTTTAGTACTTATAAAACTAGTTACACTCACTTAGATCTTGATGAGCCAGTGTCATTCACACCGATTCTATCAAAATAATCTGGAGAAAGAGGCTTACATCACACCCTACAGTCTTAATAAATACTGTCAACTACATGTTCTACTGCATCTGATAAACCTAGGTTGCTATTAATTAGATTAAAATGATAGTGTTGACTTTGTACAACAGTAGACGACATGTTGACTTTGGGTTCTGATTCTGCAAGTAGGCATCTAATTTTGTTAAGACCCAAGTTACTCTTTGACATGTTTCATATGTCTGGTTCAGAGCTAGTCACCTAAATGTTTTCTTCTTTTTAGGATAAATTTGACTGAGTGCAGTTTACACTAGGTTTATATTGGTGAAAACAAAATAATAGTTAAAAAAAATAAAAATGCACTAAGTGTCCTCGTGTGGCAAGAAAAATTCATACCAGACAGATTTTTCAGGCCTCACATTTGTACAAAACAAGTAACAAGTTCTTTTCAATATTTCGTGTGTTGCAAGTCTACATAATGATTTCATCCCTAGGGTAAAGTTTTGGACACTGGCTGTACATTTTTCATATGCTCTCAAGAAAATAGTTCTAATTTATACATGGTGTCTCAGAATTCATGTAGGATACTTGGTATTGCTCCTAGATGCTTAGGTAGCTAAAAAATAATAAGATAAAAAAATATGTTTTAGTGGTTCTAGTAGTCTGTCTGTGCTTAAAAAATAAAATAATTTGTTATTCCAAGTATGTTTAAGATAAGGCTTTGAAACTCGGTATATGGGTTCTAGTTATCAATGCACAGGATAAATGCAATTTTTTTTACTTTTCAAAATGACGGCAGTTAAGTTTACATTTTTAAATTTAAATATCATTGAAACTGTTTATTTTACAAGAAAAATTTTCTTTTCTAAGTTTAATTTTACATACCGGTAATTTAAAGATGTATGGTTCAATTTATTACAAAGACCAAACTGTAGCCGTTGCTGATCTCCAACCGGAGCCTTGGTCGTTAAGCTAGAACTTAAGTTGAAAAGGTTTGACCACCAATCACTCGCTGATGATGAAATACATTTTTTTGATAATTTTAGGTAAAAACCATTGACAATTGGGTACAGAAGTAGACATCCCATCTATGGACCAGCTGTCGCCAATATTTTACTAAAAAAGATGTAGTTATATGAGCCAGTCACAGAATGTGCTTGTGTCTAAAATTATGTTTTATACCTTTATTTTCTTGCTTAGATAGTTGATGGGTCAAAAGTTGCTATAGCTTATTACAATAAGTCGTTCCATTAGTTATATTGTGTATTCGACAGAAATTAGTTATTTAGACCAGCGCAATCTATCGGTGGCTCACATCAACTTAACAGAATTTGATGAAAAAACTGGCGACAAATTTAATATGGGTATGGAATGTCTAGTTGTATCACAACTGTGGAAGGTGATTGTGAAGATGTTAAATGAAAAAGAGCAAATAAAATTAAAAATTTTATTGATAAAATAGTAGCCTACTTACAATGAATAAAAAGTTTTACCCGTATAATATCAACATTTATAAAAGAGTCATTCATATTGTTTGACCTCTTATCCCTTACATAGGTAATATCACTATTTGGAATATTCAAGGTAAATTATTTTGTTAAGTTCAACCACTGGACACAAAAAATCAGTAAAGCAGCGGACCAACCTCTTTGGGAAGCAATTTGAAAAACAAAATATCTAAAAACCGACTATGTTAATTATTGTTTAGTTTCAAATTAAAGTTCCCGATGAGCATACACTTGAGTTTTATTAAAACTGTTACTAATACTGCAAAAACATAGGTATGGTAATGGTTTTTTATTTGTATTAATATGGAATAAAAATGGTTAAAAACAGTTTTTAAATACTAGGCTATATAGTATAAACTTGCATAAAAACTTATGCTAAGATGTTTTGAAATTAACAAAACACTATTTAATTGTTGATTTTTAAGTGGGAATTTACACAACAATAAGCCATCATTTAAATGTAAGCACACTTGTTGTGAATGAGAAAAAAATAAACAATACCCTGAAAAATATAACTAATTATTAATGTACAAGCAATAATGATTATAAAACAATACACATATGAAAATTAATGTACAATCAAGAATGGCAATAAAACAATAAAGATATCACCATAAACCACCAATTGGGAGATACTTAGTGTTACTACTGGAATTAATTTACAAGAATAAGCAAGATGAAGTTATTAAACATGTCAATACAAAATATCACATTTAACAGCAAAGCTGTTGTGTTTTGTTATTCATCTCATAGAAACAAAGGCACTTGTAATAAACAAGAAAACCATGATAGAAGGGGGATAAATAAGACAACAATTAATAAACAACATGAACATACACTTAAACTAAATACGATAGCATACATTTTTATAAAAAGATAAATTGCAGTCAAACTTTTATTATTTATTAAATTAAGATTAAAAGAAAACAACACAAACACTCTGAGGCAAATATTTTGAGCAACTTCTTGGCAGTGATACTGCATTACCAATGCACCCTGACAAGAATCTAACAGAGGACGAAAGTAAAATACTTGCAATATAATAGTAATATTAAGGGCAATTAATTTAATTTGTAAACCAACAATCACATGGGTAATATCAAGGGTAATTTATTAACTTTTGTCAATCAACAATAAACCAAAACATTGCTCATTAAATTTCTCTACTAACAATAACAGTAGTAATATCACCAGTGGTAATTAAATATGTTAATTAACAATGAAACATAACAAGTAATATAAAGGATAGTTTCTTACATCTCTCAACTAACAATCACACTGGCAATATCAATTATTAATGTTAATTCATTAAATCCTAATTTTAGGAAGTTTATTATACACATGATACAAACCATACCAGTGACATTATAATTGGTTCATGCTACTCTTCACTTACTCCAACTGCTGAATAGTCTCATTTACTGATGATGCCAATTGATCAATATATTGATCTATTTCATTAACATAGCCATCATACTCATCATCATCTTTGTAACTTTCATTTTCAGAATCACTGATTGTCTCAACATCAGCTTCAAACAAGTTGGTGCTATTGATAGAGTTACAAGCATTTATATCAACTGAAGACACTGATTGAAAACATTTTCTGATCAAATAAGGGGTTTTTAGCCCAAGAGTCGTCAAGTACATTTTTGCACAAACTGAAATTCTCTTTCCGTCAATTTCAAAAGTGTAGTTAAAACTCTGCCTTCCTGTGCTAGTTTGGCTGTTTGCTACGTCAACTGTGTTGAAAATGAAATGTCTTTTCTGCTGAGGATTGAAATTGCGCCAAAAATCGTTGAAAATAGCCTCTCTTTGATTTTCTGTTACATATTGGCACAAACTATCTTGTACATTGTGTTTGGGGTGTCTTAATGAGCATCTACGGAGCATTTCTTTTGGAATCATCATTCTTTTACCTCTTCTATCTTTCTTTTTTAACTCAAAGAGTGAAACCTCTTCTGAGTTCGGAATATCGTTATCCTGCAATGGGTTATTATTCATCTTGAGCTTCAAAATAGGGACCCTGGGATGAGAAAGAGAGGGCGAGCCTGGAAAAAATACAAAATGTTAGAACATGTAATAAAACAATTTAATGCTGCAACTAAATTATTCTGCTATAAAAATACGTATTATAATTAAACATCGTATAATAAGAATACTAATCCGTAGGCCCTAGATAAACCAATCTAGAGACTCGTCAAAGGGGGGAAGATAGGACATTAGAAAGTAGAAACATTTATGAGTGTTCAATTTATTAAATTTCACAACATTAAATGTACAGTTAACACAGCAATAAAATCACCAACACTATGCCACATTAAATAATACAGCATCTAAGCACAAGTACATAAAGTGTTTGGCAAATAGTCGACTAGAATAGAATGAGAAAGAGAGAATCCAACACCTTTATCCGTATTCTATCTATACTTACCGTTAAATGATATAACTCTTAATGTTGTTTTTGTAATTAAAACCAAATGTCATGCTGGAAAAAGTATATAATATATATAACAAAAAATAAATAAAAATAACAAATCATGTGTAAATTGAAGAGATTATTTGTCAACAATTCATTTCTCTCAATTGATTAATATGTACATCCCATACCCTTTCCAACCATATGTTAGTTCTCTTACTTTATTTATATTAGGTTTTTGCTTCACCTGTGCTTGTGTTTCTACAAAAAAAAATAAATCAGTAAACCAGACCATTCGTCATAAAAAAAAACAACCCAATTTCAAGACTTACGAAAGTAGATAAGATAGTAGATAGTTTTTAGAGAGAAAATTACTAATCAGTAGAGGATTAACATTTTGTAAAGGTATCAGGCTTTTCAGAGTAAGTGACAAGTTTTGATGTTCTACAGGTATAACTTTAGTTTTGAAATAAATGTATGATTATTGAAAGAAGACAATTAATATTAAAGTTGCAATTTTAAAGTACAATATGAAATGGTAATTTACTTTAGCAATCAAAATATAAAAAATTCTCCTTAAGATTTATTCCTCAGAGTTACTCAGGAGCAAGGAAAGGATTGATACAAACAAAACAAGAAAAACATAGAACAGTAGAGCTCTAGAGAGCTCAGAACTCTATTAGTCTACAGAAAATCATACAAAGGCTAGGAAGGAACATATCACCCTCGCCCTTAAAATATTGTGTGACCCCATTTTGTAGGGGTTTACTTGACTAGTAAATCTGGACATTCAATATTGTTTGGCAACCTAATGTTTTTCAAACTGATTCAGCTTAGGGCTAAAATTAAATCTAGAAGTAGAGTATTGTTAACAAGTTGTAAGCTGATCATTCTGTTGTCTTGAACAATCCGGGATGTAGAGTATTTCTCGTTGCTCACCAGCTCTGGTATAGAACAGAAAATCAATGAAATTAAATAAAATACCAAAACATTCAGACAGCAAGGAGAAAGAAAACAACATTGGGTTAATAAACGCTGTATTTGGCCAAGTATTGCTAAATGCCGTTCAGTGGACATCCAATTAAGAACACTTATGCTAAAATTTATTCTAACAGAAATTTAATTTCCTTATAATTATTAGGACTAGAAGGAGGAGTATCTATAGTTGAATACTCTATACGATTCAAAATGCAGAATCTAGGGTAATCTGTAACCCTAATTGTATTTAACAACACATTTCCATGCTAAATATACAAGTTCTGGAGATTACTCTCCTCGTAGGAATGTCTGTGACGAACTCTCGAAGTGTGAAATCTTGTCATCATAAATAAAATATAGAATCAGATTTCAAGCTTTGCTAGGTAATTTGATTTTAGTGCTTTTTGGGGCCATATTTAAATAACGATTTGACATAACAAAACGGAGAGGTAATTGTTTTTGGCACATCTCACTTGCTGGGCAGCACTTTCTCCACGAATCCTTTCAGATCTTGCAGCTCCTGAAACAAGTTACAAAACACAGTTACCAATTAACTGTCAAATTAACCCTATCTACCATGTGTGGTGTTGTGCTGTGCTCATTATTATTATAGGGGTAAATTTGTAGAGTACTGCATTCGGTTGATTAGGCTCGAACATTGGTGCATTTTATGAGCGCTGTTATCAAGTTTAGACATTGTTAACACCTGTAAAGATTGTTGAGTGTCCAAGCTTTTACTTTAGTTGATGAAAATATTTAATAAATACTCAAATTTAATGCATGATGAGTGGTTTATCCATGTTTTGTCCTTTTTAGTTAGAATTTAGGTTGGTTCAAATTTGTTTATCCGTCTCTGGATGTTTTTACCAAGTTCCACTGCATTTTTGAAAATCCAATTTTTCTGGTAGGCCTGATACTTTACCCTCCTAATCCTGTAGGTGTTGTATTTCCACACTAGCAAACTGTAAAAGGTCTGAAGGTGCATACATTTCATTGTTTTACCCATAGTTTGTTAACCAAAGTCAACAGAGCAGATTTAATTTATAATTTCACCTAATTTTAAAAGCATCTATTGACTGACACCCAGTTCAATCCCCTCTCACTAGTAACCTACCTCTTCAGAGGAACTGTGCATCATGCCCCTGTACGTCTTGAACTCAGCACTCTTGACCAGAGTTTTGAGGATGGACGCAGTCAGCTGACCCCACTTGTAAGGAACGATCGGATCACAGTCACCGTGGCACTGTATTATCGGTGTGTCCTTGTTGGCGGCGTTTAACACCTGTGAAATAGAAAATACTTTAAAAAAGGTCAAAACTTACTCAGGGGGTTAGCGTGTTTCTGATTACGCAAACATCCTAAAAAAAATTAGGCCTACAGGAACGTTCCATGCCTACAGTACTGTTTAAGTGCACTGAAGGATTAGTATATAGATCCACGTATGTTTTGACATTTTACTATTTCAACGTTGTCTATCTTTCAATTGCTTAATTTACATGCTTCTAACTACAGTGTACTCCTTAACGATATAACATATTGCATTACCTACTATCAACAAAAAATTTTACAAACATACATTGATGAAAAAACAAACGTGTGAGTAGAAAAAAAAACTTAGAATAGCTTATATTCATAAGATCGTGATGCATATATGTGTGATTTTTGAAGGCTTGACAAGTGAGGGATCCACTTTGTATGAATAAGATGATAAACTTGTTTATGGCTGAGATCACTAGGGTCCGGTCAAACCATAAAAAGCTACTATTATTTTCTAACTAAGATTACACATTTTCTTCTTCAATTTTTTGTGATATTGAAAACTCCTGCCAGCTTCTTATTAGTGACTATTAAAACTAAAAGATCATAGTGTTGTATTGAATCTTATATTTTAAAAACTGAAAAGTAAACATTTACAAAACAACATAAACATATAACATGTGAACATGTAATTAAATAAAACATATGTTACTTCTCAATTAGTTCTTCTCAATTTTTGTGTGGAACAGATTGTACTACAACTAAATTTTGTGGAAAATTGATCCTCAACAACCATAAGCTACTCTTTCGGTAAAACTGTATAAAAAATATAAGTGTCCTTGTCAAAACTACAAATACCTTATTGTTACTAATTTTATCACATAAAAGAGTAAATTTAACCATTTCTTTTCACCCAACGATAGTCTATCAATTAATTAATAACAATTATAATTAGCATACTGAGCAAAGTATACCAACCGATGGGAATGACTTGTGTAGAGGGAGCCAACACGACAGAGCCATGACTCCGGCCAGCTTCTTGGGGAAGGTCAGAGCCGAGTATAGGGCAAGAGCACCACCCTGCAAACAGAGTTAACAATCACTGTGGGTTAACTTAGAGACTGCTTTATAATAATATATTGTACTTTGCAACATTTTAACTAAAGGTTTAAATAACCTGGTTACTGTCACAAGATCCCAAGTAGCTGTTCAAACTATACAGTTTCGTTTTAACAGTAACCAGGTAATATTAATCTTCTACAATCAAAATAAACAAGGCAAACAGGGTGTCTAGTTTATTTCCATTATAAAATTCAAGACTAATTCCAGACTTTTCAAGACTAATTCCAGATTTTTCAAGACTAGTTTTTTCCACAATTAGTGGGTGTTGATACCAAAATGTATCGATTCTCGATTCTCGATTCTTGATACCGATACCGATTTTTATAGCTTAACCGAATTTTCTAAATAATACTAGGCCTACACCAACCCCTGTCTTTGACATGTAGTATTATGATAATGTGGTGTTTTCAAGTAAAGAAATAATGCAGCAATAAAAAATTTGAACAAGCAAATTTGTTTTTTTTTTATCATGAAATCTTCCACGTACCGTACGTTTAGACATCATCATTGACTGCAGCGGTTACAGAAACATGATCGTCGTCGTCCGCGATCACGGCAAAATCATGAACATTTCCCGCGGCCGTGTAGACATCATCGTCGTCTCCCACGGTTACGGAAACATCATCGTCGTCGTCCGCGATCGCGGCAAAATCACGAACATTTCCCGCGGCCGTGTAGACCCGCGGTCACAAAAACGTCATCGTCATCTCCCACAGTCACAGAACCTTTATCGTCGTCGTCCGCGATCACGGCAAAATCATGAACATTTCCCGCGGCCGTGTAGACATCATCGTCGTCTCCCGCGGTCACGGAAACTTCATCGTCATCTCCCGCGGTCACGGAAACGTCGTCGTCGTCATTCGCGATCGCGACAAAATCATGAACATATCCCGCGGCCGTATAGACATCATCGTCGTCTCCCGCGGTCACGGATACGTCATCGTCGTCGTCCGGGATCGTGGCAAAATCATGAACATTTCCCGCGGCTGTTTAGACATCACCATCAAAAGCAAATATTATAAAACAAAAATTAACAAATCAAACAATGTAAATAGAACCTCTTGGTCTATTATAAATTCAGAAGTGGGAATAGGATCTAAGAATGTACAAAACATTAATTTAAAAGTAGGTAATAAGTTGAATTCTGACCCTGTATTTATTTGTAACAGTTTTATTGAATATTTTTCAAATGTAACTAGTATAATGTCTAACTTTGAACCAATGTCTGAGAATCAGGTAGACAATGAAATATTTCAGTTTGGTAAAAGGTTTCGATTCAGCTTTGTTAATGAGAATGAAATAGATATAATTATTAATAGTCTAAAGAACTCTTTTAGTATGGGCTATGATGAGGTTCCTGTGGTTCTTCTGAAAAAAGTCAAGACATTTTTACTAAAACCAATCACCCACCTAGTTAATTCTTCTTTGATATCCGGTATATTTCCTGATAAGCTAAAAATTACAAAATTAAAACCACTTTTTAAAAAGGGGGACAGGCAAATGGTGTCAAATTACCGACCTATAGCTTTGTTACCCTCTATATCTAAGATTTATGAAAAAGTAATTTATAATCAATTGGTAACATTTTTTGAAAATAACAATCTGTTTGACAACTTTCAACACGGGTTTCGCAGAGGTAAATCAGTTATAACTGCTGCCACTGATTTTATAGAATCGGTCATTGATAGTCTGGATGGTAAATTTAAGGTAGCGGGTTTGTTCTTAGACCTGCAAAAAGCATTTGATTCAATATCCCATGATTTATTAATTTCAAGGCTTAGTACCTTGGGTATAGAGGGGACTGCTTTAAATTTGCTTAAATCTTATCTCTCTCACAGAAAACAGTTTGTTGAAATTATCTATCATAACCGTAAAAACTATAAAATTCCATATCAATCTTATACCACTGACTTAAAATATGGGGTTCCACAGGGATCCATTCTGGGGCCTCTTTTATTCATTATTTATTTAAGATATTTTCCGCAACTTAGCAATTTAAGTAAACTCTGCTTGTATGCTGATGATACCAATTTGAAAATCATAGCCTCAACAAATGAAGAATTAGAAAGCAAGGCAAAATCAGACATATGCGTTTTAAATGATTTTTTTAACTCCCAAAATCTAAATCTCAATGTGGATAAAACAAGTATCATAAATTTTCAAACTCGAACTACCAGAAATCAACGTCGACCGATTATTAAATTTAATAATAAAACCATTGAAGTTAAGGATAGTACTAAATTTTTAGGATTAGTAATAGATAAAAGACTCAATTGGAACTGTCATGTTGAAAAAGTGCTTTCAAAAGTTTCTTCTGGATTATATGCCTTAACTAGATTAAAAAACTATTGCGAAATAGAAACTTTGAAGTTGGTTTACTTTTCATACATACATTCAGTGATTTCATTTGGGATTTCCCTTTATGGCTCAACCAATAAGAGAAACTTAAAATCTATATTAAGAATGAAAAAAAAAGCTATAAGAATAATTTACAACCTTCCACCTAGAACTTCTGTTAAGAGAATGTTTAAAACAGAAAATATAATGACAGTTTTTGGTATGTATGTTTTTGAAACAGTGGTATCTGTTAAAAACAGATTTCATGAAATAGAGCTGGTTGGAAGGAAACATGATTATCTTACAAGAAATCGAGGCAAGTTAGCATTAAGTCCTCATAAATTGCGCCTTTTCGAAAAAAAACCCAAATACGCTGGAACAAAATTCTATAATAAACTTCCAAAGGACATACAAGCAGAAGTAAATATAAAAAAATTTAAAAATAAACTTAAGAAATTTCTCATTAGCAGGGCTATTTATTCATTTGATGAACTGTAATTGACTTTTCATTCCCTACTAATCAAAGTATGTTTTAACTGTTAGTTTTATGTTCTTTTACAATTTTTCCCATTTACTATTTAAGCATGTATGTTTTATTATAACTTATAAGAAATGTGACACTATTCATGTATATATTTCTAATGTACTTGATGAATAAAGATAATTTGAATTGAATTGAATTGAATTGAATCACCTCCCGCGGTCACGGAAACTTCATCGTCGTCTCCCACGGTTGCGGTAATGTCATCGTCATCTCCCGCGGTCATGGAAAGGTCATCGTCGCCTCCCGTGGTTTCGGAAACCTCATCGTCGTCGTCCACTATCGCGGCAAAATCGTGAACATTTCCCGAGGCCGTGAGGACAATCATCATTGGCTTTCGCGGTTACGTAAACGGAAGACGACGATCGCGGCACAAACATAAAAATTCCCGACTTTGAAATAAAATTTAAGACTAAATCCCGACTTTTCAAGACCATTTTGAAATTCAATACTAATTCCCGACTTTCCCGATTTTCCCGACTACTAGACACCCTGCTTATAGTTTCAAACCACACGGGATCGTTTTGACAGGTTACTGCGTGTAACACGTTCGCTGCGGGTGGATCTGTACTGACCCACGGCGATTGCAACCCTCATGCGGCCGGGTCAGTACTGACCCAAAACCCACACTGCAGTGCATCTATCTGTTGCTTAGTTCGAGCCTAGCGTCCGTCGAAGGCGGACCTACACACGTTAGCATGTAGTAGTGAGTGACATGCTTTTTTTTGTGGGGTAGGTTGGTAATAAATTTACTAATAATAGGTTAAATACCTTATTTACATTATCAATCCTAGTTGTCTTTTCCGATGACTATAGTTTCGGGGCAAACAGCCCCATTGTCAAATCTTCTGTCTTGTTAATTACTGTTAAAAGCATTGGTCATTGCATTCCACAAGTAGTAAATACACACACTGACACACAAAAGATTTATATTTACATGAAACATTTAAAATTTAATACTTTGGCCGGCCTAAACAAAAATTACTAACTTTGTGTGGACTGGTACACTGACACATGTGGACTACATGTGGAATGCAACGACTAATGCTTTTACAGTAATTAACAAGACAGAAGATTTGACAATGGGGCTGTTTGCCCCGAAACTATAGTCATCAGAAAAGACAACTAGGATTGAAGACGTAAATAAGGTATTTAACCTATTTCTAGTATTCTTTATCAATCCAGGGTTGCGATAAATGGATAAGTAAATTTACGCCTCTCGTCGTAACGTAGTTCATCACCACATGTTATTTTCTATTCGTCAGACCCAAATTTTAAAGCCAATTGCCCGGCAATCGGGTTTGTTCGACGCTGTGCCGCACCGGGGATACGCCCGCCGTTGACGGGCCGCAGCGAACGTTTTAAACATTCAATTCTTTTTGCAATGATTTGTTGTCTCTTTTCATTAATTTAATTGTTGATTGGAATGTTCTTATTCACATTTTATAGTTTACTTAGTTCTTGCTTTAGAATTTGGGTGTGAAAATCCTCTGGTTTTGTTTTTTTTAATGAGAGATTTTAGTTTTATTTGTTAAGGCGGTGTTCTGGGATGATGGATATTTAATTTGTCTTACAGTAGACTCCCTCTTATCCGGACTCCGGATAACGGTTTTCCCAGTTAAACCGACGTCCCCAAAAACTAGTTAAAACGGACCACTTAGATGCATACTGTAAACAGTATTTGACTTAAATTTAAGAGAGCATTGTATTTAGACACGTGATGACTGGTCTCAAATCTTTCCCACGAGAACAGTTGTTTCCACTTCCTGCCGACTAGTCCGGTTAAACCTGTGTGATAAAAATTTTTCGGTTAAAAAGATGTAATTTCCGCCTAGTGTAGTCCGGTTAAACCGATGTCCGGTTAAAAGGTGTCCGGATAAGAGGGAGTCTACTGTATGTGGCTGCACAGAAAACATACTACTATAACCCAGAATGCCAACCGCATGGTGAAAAGCATTAAGTGTTTTGAGAGAGCTTTGCCTGGAGAATATTATGGAGAATATTGTAAAATGTAGTTTGCTTGTTATGAATATATTTGGATCAAACTTGGCAAATTTATTTAAGTATACTTAACTATTATTATTTAACTAAAAACCAAATTTAATAGTTTTCTTGTAGCAAAAAACCTAAGTAATCGTTAAACCTAACGTTATTTAAATAGATTTAATTGAAAATCAATTCATCAGACAAATGTACATTCGCTTAGTTGGCAGGTTTGCTGCAGCGGGGGTATTTTATTGTTTGGCTGGATCACTTTGTCTGTAAAATTGAAAATGGACAGTTTTTTTATTAAGTCTGCTTCACTTAAGTGTGTGTGGTGAAGTAGGTCAGCAACACACGGAGGTGTCAAGTTGTGTGCTGAGTTGTTGTGTTGGAAGTAGGTCGTGATGAAATGGCTTAATTGACGTAATTTATTTTATATATGAACTTGGTATGCTTAGCTTCTGTTTATCATAAAATAGTGTTGTTAAGATAAAGATTTGTTTTCCGCATTATTAGTTTAGTTAAGATCCTGTTTAAGTTTAGATTTATAAGAATGTGAAGTCAAGTGCTTGAAAAAGTCTTGGTACTGGTGTCTACTTCAGTTGCAGTTTCTATCTTCTTGATAAAGATTATGTTGCAAAAACTTACAGTTCTTCCTGTTGTGGTTGTGAGTATAGTCGTGATTATATGTTGGTGAATAATCCCTACAAATATAACTGTTTTTTGGGAGGTCACTTTCACAGAAATGTTACTTGTTGGCCATCTTGGTTTTTACCAACGAGGTCAACGAGTCTTAATTAAACTGACTGTTCTACTTGTAGACATGCTGACCTTCAAAAGATGTTGTTCATGTTGTAGGCCTAAACATGAATTTCATCTAATAAAATATTTCAATAAACCTAATTGAGTGAAACGGACCAATGTGTTGATGACAATGCTTGAATGTCAAGTACTGAGTATTCAGCTGTGCATTTTAAATGTCTAACGAGTAAGGGACACGGACTAACAGATAACAAGTTAATTACCTGTGAGAAGCCCCCCAGAAGGATCCTGTCACTAGGGATGCCGTTTTTCTCCTCAGACTCTATAAGTGCGTGGATATTCTCCGCAGCCTTCTTGATCCCCACCTCATCCTCCGGTCCGGACGCCTCCAGAGACTTGAGGTCGAACCACGACGGCATCCTGAACCCACTGTTGAGCGTCACCGGCATCGTCGGACTATGGAAAACAACATGGTGATTCAGTGTCAATATGAATAATGAATAAGTGAATTTATTTCCGTTGAATACAAACTTATTACATATATTGACAGTGTTTGGAAATTGACTGGCCGCTTTTCAAGTAGTGCTGCCAGTTAGAACAAATAAATACAATAAATTATAACAGATTTTGAGTCTAGCATCATGCATTAAAAACTCTCGTGCCACCATTTGGGTATATGCTAAATACATATAGGCTATTAATATAATAAATAATCAACAATATAAGTGTTGCAAATTATAGATGCACAATTAAATAACACTAATCTATATATATAAAATCCAATGTATGTTTGTTTGTATGTTTGTTTGTTTATTTGTTTGTCCTTTATGGACTCCGAAACCGCTTGACATATTGTAATGAAACTTTCAGGATTAAGCATTATTCAAGGATGTTTTGTGTGAAGTTTGGTGCAGATCTGTCAAAAGGGCTCTGCCCCAGTGGCTCTGGAGTTTCCCATGTTAACCTTATGAGTACTCATATTTAAATGGAATAAAAGAATCTTAACAGCTGGTTCCACTAAACAATTTGATTCTGTGATGTTCAATAGCATTAAAAAGCTAATAAGTTTACCAACAGGGTCCAGCACTAAAATTTATGACAGCATCTAATTTGCAATCAAAAGGTGAGTGAGCGTAGCGAACGAACTTCAACCTGGAGGCGAGTTAGCATAGCGAACGAGCTAATCTGAATGCAAGCGAGCGCAACGAACGAGCTCCAATCCAAAGGTGAATGAGGGTAGCGAACGAACTTCAACCAGGTCGTGATTGAGCCATGCGAACAAGCTCATCTTGAAAATGAACGAGCATTTGACATAAAATTTTTGTAATTTTTGTTTAATTCAGTGACCCTCCTCCTCTTAACAAGGGAGTTAAAAGTGGTTTGCTGATTAACGTGTTTCGCAACTTTGCACCCCCACCCTTAGGTTGTCGACCACCTCTGGATGTGACGACATGGGTTTTTAAACACTAACCTAGCCTCCCATTACCAAAATTTAAAAGTCAAAATCTCTAACTCTTTTCATGCATACTCAACTGCACCTAGCGCCTGTACTAAATGGATGAACAAATATAAAATAAAACTTAATACAGAATGAACAGAACATAGCCCAATTAGCGTTTTAACATCTACGAATAGGACTTTACCAACCACTACCTTTAATGTTAAGTTTTAGTAGGAGTAATTTAGTTAACAGTTACTACCTAGACATGATAACCATAGGAAAGCAAATCCCAAACAATATCTACCATTCTGTGCTTGACACTGATGCAAAGCTACTTCTGTTTTAAAGTATTGAGTAAACACGTTTTCCAAATTGTAACCAATGTGTGGTTCCATATAGGTTTTTTTCAACTAGGTCCTAAATGTCAGCCTATACTTGAAACCCAAATATAAATTAAGTTATTGTTTTTGTTTAGTAGTTCACTTATTGAAAACAGGGAATAAAAATAAATTCAGATATGAAGAATGAAATAAGTTATAGTTTGACCGTTACACGGTATGTAGCCATTTGATGCTGATAACTCTTATCTAGGCGACCTTCGACAGTTGAGAGTGATCTGCTCTGTTGCATTGGTATAGTTAACTAGAGAAGGTTGTGTAAAAGACTTTAATGGAAAAGTGTAACCAAACTATCAATTTAAACTATCCATTAAGCATGAATAAAAATATCAACATTATACAATAGCCGCACCATTAAGACTGACATTTCTTATGATTCTTATAAAAATAACTTAAATTTCACTGGACAGTAAAGTTTTATTTTGTAAAACCAACTAGTCTTATGTGAATTCTAATATTGTAAATGACTAGTTTTGTAAATTTATTTTTTGTATAGGCCTTTGAAGCATACATTTCAAAAAATTTTACCTATCGAAACATGAATGATAACAATTAGTTTTAACTTTTAACTTTATACTTTTCTTTTAAAATGCCGACCGTACAAATTCCGGTATTTTAAGCCAAGTATGAATGTAGATAAGTGTGGGATGAGTGGCGCGATCTTACAGTCTTGTTAGTGAACAGGGTTTACTTATTCCTTAGACACAGCTGTTAATTAATAGTCCATACAGTTAATGGCACCTAAGGTTATAATGGACAGGTTATAACGGAATACAAACCACATTTTTGCCTTGTAATTTACGAATAAGTCTAATCATCAGGATAGTACTTTGGATAGTCGTAGTACACACCACGAGATTGATTAGCACGGGATGTCAAAGGTTGAACGTTTTTCATATTTTAAAATCTCATTCTAAAAGAACATTTAATTTCAGTACGAAAAACGTACTATACAAGTTTTAATGCATCAACTTGACACAAAAACAAGAAGACACATCGGTTGCACTGAATGAGAATTAAAGTAAGAATTGTGCAATAATTTGGTTTTTAGAAATTCTCTGTGGAGAGGAAGGTATTCAAAAAAATGCCATGCCTGTTGGTGGGTTAAACTGACTTAAAAATGGAAAACAAAGTACACTCACGCTGTAGGACAGATGACTTTCATGTAGGGCTGACGGATTTCTGTCATCGCAGTGGCCCAACCATGCCTGGAAAGTGACAATGTTTTAGTATAAGGCATAGTGCAAAAATAACAGAATATCTTGTTTTATGAGCTGTCAGATAATTTTGTCTAAGTGTACAGTATACTCCCTCTTATCCGGACACCTTTTAACCGGACTACACTCGGCGGAAATGACATCTCTTTAACCGGGCAATTTTTATCAGCACATTGGTTTAACCGGACTAGATTGGCAGGAAGTGGGTGGTTCTGAAACGACTGTTCTTGTGGGAAAGATTTGAGACCAGTGATCACGTGTATAAATACTAAGTGTCTTGATTTAAGTCAAATATCACGGCAAAAGGTCCGTTTTAACGAGTTTTTGGGGACGTCGTTTTAACTGGAAAACCTGTTATCCGGACTGGCCTTGGTCCCGAGAAATCTAGATAAGAGGGAGTCTACAGTATTTTGTATCACACTCCATGCTTCTGTAATGAGTCGTCACACTGCCTGCTTCCCACTGAAACCGGTTAGAAGAAATCTTTTATTCTAAATCAGTAAAAAAATTTGACAGTTGAGATCATTTGACAGTAGATCATTGGGATTTTAAAAACCTATTGTAGGCTACATTTCATTTGGTATCAAGTTTTAAGAAATTTTATTTCTAGAAAAAAATAGTATACAGATTTAAAGACTAAACATTTACCTTTACAATTTTAATTTTATATAATTACTGGCTTACCCCGTTGTGGCTTTGCTCACGAAATTTAAGTTGAGTTAAGTTAAGTGACCACTTAAGTTCAACTAAGAGAGAACATAATTTTACAATGATAACTGTCCCACTACCAGGAGCTTAGGACTGCTTACTCTGAAACCACCCTAAATAATGTTTTGTTAGATATTCCCACTACATCTCCTTTCACTTAGGTTTAATTACATGCTTAAACCTAATTTTACAATAGTACTGTCAGATCTCCCATAGCTTATTGGAAAGTTATATCTATCTTAAAGTAACATTGAGTAACATAAAAACGTTATACAATGTTTTATAGTGGTTCACTAGGGCAGAGCCCTGACGGAATTTCTTGAAAACGCTTCTTAATGTATTGCTCACTTAGAGACTAATTAGAATCTCCATGCCAATTCCTGAGTTCTTATGGTTAGTACTTTTTGAGATACAGTTATCAGTGAGTCAGTGAGTGGTATTTGATTTTTTTGATTTTTATAAGTATAAGTTAAATTAATTATTTCAGTTGTCCACCGTCCAGTGTGTATAGTCTTGCTTGAGCCTTATCGACTACATTAGCAAACTAAAGCTATCAGGCAGACATTAATGGAGATGATCAAAATGTAATGTAGGCCAAACCTAGTTGAAAATCAATTGTACAATAACTTCAAGGTAAGGAATAGACAGCACAAAACGACACTCAATCACTTGTATCGTAATCTAAGTGTCAATAATTACAGCGACTTCCAAGTTTTTTTAAAAAGTATTATAGATTTAGTTGATCACAAAAAAAAACCTGATAGGAATATTGATAGACCTTATGAATGCTTTTGATAGGAAATGTCACAAAACTCATACTAAAATATGTAGGAGTAGCCTTGAGGTCACATTTTCTTGTGTTTTGGATCATATTTGTCAGATAGGAAGCAATTCATTGAAATCATGCCTAATAAAAACAATTGGCTCGTAAGAAACAGATCATAAATAACCTGATTACAATAAAACCCTAAAATCATTTTGGCATCCCTCAAAGGTTCAATATTAGGCCCTGTTTTATTTCTGTGTTAGATAGATAAGATTCCAAATACACTGTCACGTCTACCTGGCGGAACTATGTGCCAATATGCTGAAGTCAACTTAAAAATTACAGGCAAAACAGTAGAACAGATTGAAATTGATACGTATTTTATAGACCAAATGTTAATAATCTCGAGCTAAACCAAAATAGAAACGTTGATCTTTTTGGAATCTGATGAAATCAAATAAGATGAGAAAAATAGATTTTTAAGGTTTAAAAATTGATAAGCACATATTCTGGCAGGACCACAAAGATCATGTCTGCTCAAAGATTAATGCAAGGGTATTTTCACTGAAAAAGTTGTCTTATCTATATAACATCAGTACGGTACTTTAAAAACAATATACAGGGTGGCGCAAAAGGATGGTCAAATTAGAACTGCGTAGTACTAGTAGGGGAGGGAGGGTATGATCTACTGCCGGCCGTCTGTAAGTCGACCATAGTATCCAATTTTCCATAAGATGGCGCAGTGGACGGTCGAGCATTGTGTTTTTGCTTTGGAACATTTTTTTTAGAAACAGTGAATCTTTTATTAGGGTGCAACATTTTGGTGTAGCCCGTATTGGACTGGTTCCTGATCGCAGATCAATATCAAGTTGGGTGACTGCATTTTGGACAACAGGGTCCGAATAATAAGAGAATGATACAGGGTGGTGCAAAAAGGATGGTCGGTTTTGAAATGAATATAATGCAAATGATTTATACATAAATTTTACTAACTTGCATTTCTCAACACGTTCAAATGCCCCATTGCAAAACCCGCCTAATCTTGTAAGTTTCTAACCTTGTAAGTTAGAAAGTTGCTAGTTGGCTATGTCAATCAAACAAACTACAGTATAACAATAAAAAAAATAAAAAAATCAAAGAACGTTCTTAAATAACAAACTTTCTTAAGTGGTCAATTTACTGGACTTCCACGAACAGCAGTTACTCCCAGAAAACATATAGACCGTAAGAGTGCAGGGCTTCAAAGTCCGCTACGTTCTTTTGATGCTTAATTTTTATTTTTAAATTGTTATAGTTTGATTGACATAGCCTACTAGCAACTTTCTAACTAACAAGGTTAGAAACTTACAAGGTTAGGCGGGTTTTGCAATGGGGCATTTGAACGTGTTGAGAAATGCAAGTTCGTAAATCATTTGCATTAAATTCATTTCAAAACCGACCATCCTTTTTGCGCCACCCTATATCATTCTCTTATCAACAGCCACATTAAATACGGTATACCTTTTTGGGGCTACAACAAAGAAAAATCTAACTCGAATCCTCAAAGTACAGTAAAGGATATTAAAAAAAAACTAGTGTACATGTTGCTCGAATTCGAGCAATTGTAAAGTATTACAGGATTTGCAAACCAATAACAATCATACTAAGCTATCAACATTTCAACAAAAACACACCTACCTTCCCTGTAGCAGCAAACCTAAGTACTCATATTAAAATTAACTTAATGTTATTTAAATAGGAAAAAAATTACCATTTTAAGGGAATAATTAATCTTTGTATTAATTAAGCCAGGTAAATGGAAATTCGCTTAGTCTGAAGGTTTGCTGCGGATACACAATTTTAATAACAGCAAAGATTGAAGAATCTGAATTATTACTTATGGATACCATCAATACATATTTCACTCTTAATTTATGACAACAGCTGGAGTTCCATAACAAATTTTGTTTCCCATGTTAATCTTATGGATAAATACGAAACTTTAAAGGGCCCCAGGGCCCCACTCTCTAATTATATCCTTAAAAAGAAAGTTTCCTGCACAACTTCACGTTACGCTCTTTCCAATGACACCAAAAACATGTCAATTGGTTCAGTAGTTTCGGAGGAGTAATTGTCACAAAAAACCTGCTTGCGTATTAAATAAGTAAATAGATAAGGACTAAGGACTAAAAAATAATTACAGTGTTTTAATCCATTTAACAAATTTAAAAACACTAACAGTCTTTGCCTGTACACATCAATACATTTTCAAAACTGCTCTCATTGCTGATGAAAGTATAACGAATAACGTAGAATTATGCTACAATACTAGAGGAAAAGCCTTAAGAGAAAACAGTCACAACCATCTTTTCTTTCCCAATAACAAGCCCAACTGTCCAAATGAAGGTTCTTGTATTTTCTTCCTAATAATTTAATGACCATTGGCAGCATGAAATTAAAAAAATTATTTAAAAATGGTGCTATAGAAATTGCTCCTTACTCAATTAAAGAGGAGTTTCCTCATGATTTAAATTCTTTCCATTGTTCTATTCTCACAATTATTGAATAAATATATTGAAATAGAAAAACTATATAGAAATCAAGTGGGCACAAAGTAACTTACTAAGCTGATACAGTTTTAACGTAAATTAATTAACAGAGTTGTAAGTAAGCTTGGTATGAAATAAAGCTAATAAATTATTATATCAAATTATAAAAAAAAGGTTTCTTACCCTGTGTCTCCCAGCCCATGGAGAAAGATTAACTGAAACAAAAACAAAATCTTTTAAGTACCGGTATGCAAAGGAGTAGGAAAGAGTGAACTTACAAAACTATCACTTACAATTGAATGATTTCAAACTTTAATTCAAAATTACAGTAGACACCCTCTCATCCGGACACTTTTTAACCAGACTACACTCAGCAGAAATGCCATATCTTTAACCAGAGAATTTCTATCAGCACATCGGTTTAACCGGACTAGATCGGCAGGAAGTGGGCGGTACTTAAACGACTGCGAAAGATTTCAGACCAGTGATCACGTTTCTTAACACAATGCTCTCCTAAATTTAAGTCAAATATCGCAGTAAACAGTTCGTTTTAACGAGTTTTTGGGGACATCGGTTTAACCGGAAAAACCGTTATCCGGACTGGCCTCAGTCCCGAGGAGTCTAAGAGGGAGTCTACTGTACCCTCACTGCTGTAAGAGGGAGTCTACTGTCGGTTAACCGGGGTTCTGCTGTAAATATAATTGACCTTATTACAGCCAATCAACCAAAAGAATGTCAATTGAAGCAAACTAAATTGGGACTGACAGATAATGCAAGATAGGGGTAGTACTTGAGTAAAATAAATGCCTCAAATTTGTAATTAATGTGGTGACAATGGTGGTACCATGTAGGCTACATTATCAATTACGAATATACAAATGGACAACTTTATGCGACAATGGAAAAGTCGGGAAATATAAGAAGAAAATAAAAAACAAGGTCAGCTTTTAAAATTTGTTTTTTTTTAAATATTCATAGGCCTAAAGAGTTTTTATTATGCTATGTTCCCATCCCATATAACATTGGATATGTTCTTAGAAAATGTGGACTGTCTGAGAAGAATGCAGACTATAAATTGTTTGCCTTCAGAACTAACTGAGATAAGGGGAAAGGAAAGTTTGAAACACAATGAGGGGTGTAAATCTTAGGCTTTTAGTACCTTGATTAGGTATACCTGATGTTCAACAACAAGCTTGGAAGCACTTAAAAGGGTATGTAAAAAATCCCACTAAGTATGTGACTTCCAAAAAACACTCAGCCAATTTTCAGAAAGACAACTTCATTTGTACAAAATATAAAAATGTATTTTTTAAGATTCTCAAAAATTCCAGTTTATTGATTGATGAAACAAAATGGTAATTTGGGAGCCAGGTTGTTGGCCTCGCCTTTAAAGTTAAAAAGTCACACTTTTTTCACAGGGAAATCAATTAATGAAGCTTTTTTACTAACAGGGCAAAGGTGTCATACAGTAAAACCATGATTTGGTCCTATCCACAAATAAAAGTGTCCCAATTAAATTAGTGGTGTTTAAGGTAACACAGTACTCAAATATAAAATATAAAAAAAAATTTTTTATTATTTAGTTTTGTAGAACAGACTTTTCTGAACACGTAGATACCGTGATAAAAATTAAGGAAGAAAAAAATTATTTTTAAAATTTTCAGCTACTTTTATAAACTATTGCAGCCTAATTTAGCATGCCCAAATCATCACACAAAAATCACAGTTTCCATGACAACCAAAAACCTTTGATATAAAAAAATATTTTATGTTAAAAAATTACAAAATATTTTATACAATTTTTAAAATCATACTAACAATTTAATTTTGCTCAAAAACTTTTTTTGCTTCATATTATTGTTGGTAATAATGTATTAAACTTAGTAAAAAATTTCAAGTTGATAGGTTAATATTTGTAAAAGTTAGGTGTACCTAAAAACTGTCATTTTAACATGGGCGGGATAGGGAGTACTGTGTCACCTTAAAGAGCACCCCACTCAAAGATAAAAAAAAGGCATAGGCAGGCCTACCTATCTTACTCATCACCAAGTTCAATCACAAAAAAATTTAAGTGATCAAACTAATTTAGAATTACTTAATTTGCACTAGAAAAGAAATGTTAAGATGTAAAAAAGGGTTGGAAAAAGTGTGATACAATATCTTAATGATAATGATATAAGTGTATGTTTAGTAAGTTATACGTTTTACCATAAGATTTTAGAATACACTGACTCTGACTTTCCACCAGGAACCAACTGTAAGGCATTGAAGATTGTGTCAGCATTTATTTTGCATTTTTTAAATGTATGTTACAAGTTATTCTAAAAACAACATTTAATGTTAGAAATTCATTAGAAATTGAATTATAAATCAACATTAGACCTAAAATGTAGCTACAGTACGTAGGCCTATAGTTAAACAAATTTCAAGAATTTAGAATAAATTGTAGCAGAACAATTCTATTGTGAAAAACCCTTCCTGCAAAAAAAAAAAAAAAAAAAAAAAAAATAGAAACAAGTAGTGACCGGATGTGGCCTACAATACAAATTTTACACTAAAATATTTTAACCGTTAAAAAAAAACTTACAGCCATTTTGGACACACTTGATAACACTCAGTGGAATATGTGTTTAACAATGGATTCACAAATGAAAACTTAAAACGGATATCTCGTGGTGTTGGTGGAACTAAGTTAAGTGTTATTTATTATCTGATTGGATTGTAGAGAAATATCAGTAGGCTACTGATAATTTTTTAGTGGCAGGGATAGTTAACTTAAAAAGTTCATCGTTTGTACATGTGGAAGCTTATTGATGATTCAGACTCAAACGCCTGTACAGTTTATATTTGACAAAATTGGTGATGGAATAAATTATAAAGGTATAGCCTACTTAACAATAGAATCAGACAGGACATAAATGATTAAGAATCAGTTTTTTTAAAACCTTAAATAATACTAAATAATCTAGAATAAGAGTGTAAACATTTTGGATTCATTGTGATATCACAGGTTTTTCTGGGCCTATCAAATAGAATAAACTCACTACAGTAAAACTTAGTGAGTGTATGCTTAGTCTATTTTAATTATGTAATATTAAACATTAAAACTAAACTTGTAATACTTTCAACTCACAAAATTACAAAATTATTGTTTAAATGAGCTTAAAATATTTCGTGCTAAATTTTAATGACAAGTAACAATGAAATCAAATCTATTAATTTTTACTTGCATGATCTAATAATAGATTGAAATTGAAAGGTAAATTTAACATAAAGTTATTGGCTCAAAGAGATTATTGTGGTTTTAAACTTAATCCAGAGTCCTTGAAGTCAAAGTAGACCAGGTATTCAATTTGAATCTGTATGAGAATAAAGTCAGCTGATATTCAAGTGGTATCCAGATCGAATCCCATCGAGGACTCTAACTTGTTGCCAAAGATTTTGCTTAGAATGAAATGAAAAATGTCTTTATTTAAGAGGCAAAGTTAGGACTAGCAAGTCCTCTCTACCACTTAACCTCTAAAACATAGCCTAAATATAGGCCTAACTAAAAAATCAAATAATATAAAGTACCATAGGCTATTATAAACATATTGAAATTAAATTTACTAATCCAAAAAGTCCATTCACACAAGCCGCCAACAACCCGCCACACCAGCGCCAGAGACTCATTCACGACTGCTGCTCAAATCATAGATTTTATCTCTGCCCCAAACCCTGCACGGTTCTTGATAGAATGCGATTTCTTTTAACTGTACATCACTTGTTAGAATTTGAGGCATTAACTTAACTTAAGTTACCGGTATTTACTTAATAATTTTATTTTATGAACAGAATTTAATCTTCATTCAATTTATATTAACTTATAGGCCAGTTTGGTTAGTTAGGTTAAGGTACGGTACTTAGGTTATGACAAAAACTGTCGGTCGCCTAATCCACGTCCTGTTCACTTACCAGACGGGTATCCTCTGCCTTACCTAAAAGCAGAGGATTCACGTCCAGTGGATTAGGTGTCCAGCATTTACTGTCATAACTTAACTTAAGCTGATAATAAAAATCGAATGAAGGTTAAATTCTGTTCATAAAATAAAATTAAACCCCTCAAAATCTAACAAAAGATGTAACTAACAGTTAACTTAAGAAGAAATGGTATTCTAAGCAAAAAAGTTAGTGTCACCGATGAGATTCGACTTAACTTAGATACCTCTTGTACAGGGTGAGGCAGTGGAACGGCACGATTTAAAAAAATCATGAATAATTTATTTAGAAGAAAAAGATAGTTGTTTTAACATAAATCCTAAGTAGGGGCCTACATGAGTGAAAATTAACGTTTCACCTTAAAAATAAAAATATTGTTTAGGCCTAATACAGTGTCAGTAAAATGGCATATTAGGTTTTGCACACATTTTTGAATTGAAATGACCCCATGACGGTTTTTAGCGTTTCCATCAAGTCTGCAATCGTTTTATAGCGCTTTATCGTGCTAGCAGTGGCTTCAAAGTTATTCACCCAAAGGAGGGTAGCTTTCCTTGATGGCACAGGAGCCCGCTGCGATAGACTGAACTCACAACAAAAAGCGCGCTGAGCACAAACCATTATATAGGCCTACACGTTTTTATAAATATGCCTTTCCAGCAAACGTGTGTTGTGCACTCGTCCAACGCTCCATGGCTACTGAAATTTCCACTTTTCTAGACGGCTATGGCCATTTCCCCCGTACTCTGATAACTTAGCCCCCAATTCCTTGTCAGCTGGTATAGGAATCATGCCGTTTCACTGCCTCACCCTGAACCGATTGCCACGAAACTTGGTACATACGTGTAGAATGTCATGGAATAGGTTGTACATTAGCTGAGTAAGCTCTATCCACTACACCACGAACACCGACGGCTTATCGTATCGTTGTGGTAAAATAAGGTAAATGGTGTTCCAGGCCCCCACAACCCGGTGACGTCACCGCCGGACGCCTAACTTAAACTTAATCCACGTTCGGTTACCGGACGCATATCCTCAGCGTAGCCTAACCTAAAACTAATACCTATACAATTCAGTCATGGAAAACATCAATAAGTTAGGCCTAGGCCTACTTGGCTAAAATATCTCGATGTTCTACAAAAACATTGGTGCTCTAAGTACCATCGATGTTTAAAACCATAGACTAGGCCTATCGATGCACATCCCTAATTAACTTAGGGCTGCACCATAGTTTCGGTCCTATACTCACATAACTCTCATATTACTGCAGTTTGGTTAAGGTTAGGTTTACTTAGTTTAAAACAGTTTCATTTTAAAATAAGCTGGTAGTTAATGTAGGCCTATAATAGGTTAAGGTAGGACGTAAACTAAAGTGCAACCTAACTTAGTATCAAAAAATGGCCTAACTTAGTCCTGGCTATTTGTAGGCTAGGCATTTGATGAAACAGGTCATGTAAAAAAACTTGTTAAGTTACGGAACTTAAAGTCATAAAAACAAGTAGGCCTAAGTTATAACTTAGCTTAGTATAAATTGCCAAACGTTAAAATCACTTACCGTAGCGGTCTGTTTGGCTGTGGCAGCAATAACCACGGGGGTTGCCGATGCCATTGTGGTGGATAAACTTGCTACCGAGTTGACACTGGAAAGGCCTAGTCCTAGAGAAAAACAGGAAGGCTACTTTCGAAACAAACTTTTATGTTATCCCACTAAATTCAAAAGACCTAAATTAAGTTACTAGTTTCCGATAGCTTGATGATATTCTCGACTCGAGTATTTTGCTTCACGGCAAAAAGTCAAAACGAATTACGTCACTTGCACATGCTCACTACTTCTACAAATTACAAAACTAAACTACTAAATAAATAAATGACGACAATCTGAATCTGAGAATCATGTGTTTGTTTTTTCGTTGACCTTTTTGTAAAATTGTTTCAAATTAGACAGTGTTGCCACAACAGTTGTCACGCAGAATACCCTTTTTACTGTAAGTTACATTAAGAGAGTATGTTTAATCTATGGTTACTTCAAACGTAACATGGACGTACAACCATTTATGTATGATCAATAAAAACTAAATAAGCAGGATTTGGAGAACAGTAAAATACCCCACCCAAGAGGTAAAAAATATGCGTCTATATGCATATAGCTTGGTATTAAATTATAAAACGAAACCCCAATTTCTTGGTAGCCGGATGGTGTCTAATTCAAGTTACGTTAACCGATTACGTTATTTTATGCTCTACATATTTCGAGCTATAATAGCAAATCTTCAGCTCACACTCACAACAATAAATCCCATTGATAGATTTTTTCGAATACTGCATCATCTATCATGCTTTCATACAGTACATGGATTAAGCCACGGCCACCTTTAACGAAATTAACATTGCTCTTATGGCGGGTAAATCCAAGATATCCGTTAGCTTTCAAGGACTCCCTTGGGAAACAAATTTAAAACTACAAAAAACATTTCTATTCTCACAGTATACTAGACATATTTAAATTATAATCACTTTGGTGTTTGGAAACATATTTTTGGATGATAAATAACTCTTCATCGGTTGTTTGAAATTATCCAAGATAATTGATAGCCTCCATCATGAACTCCAGCATTATCGGACAATGGGAACGGGGGTTTATGGGGTAAAAATGGGGTGTTTTCCCATTTTTGATCCTAAAAATATAACATTTTGCAATTTCTGTCCAAACCATTTCGCAGGGATTAAAAAATTAATTTTGTATATTAAAGCGTACTCATACGCTTGATCGTTCAAGTGAAAAAAAACCTGTAAATTTAGAATCCCCAAGTTATTATTATTTAGAATAAGAGTAAATTGCTGTAGTTTGTTTATGACACTTTCTTTTAACAAATTTGGAAAGTTTATTAATTTTATAGGTACTATACTATTAACGTTGAACTAAAAGACTTTTCCCTTTAGCAGTAAACCTAAGTACTCACTCAACTTATGTTATTTAAAAAGGCCTAGGGAATAAATATAATATGTTAAAGGTGGAAATTATGTTTTTTGTAGCTAGCGACTCGACAAACTTTACTCAGGCCAACCTTCTGAAATCCAGAGACTCTGGCTAAAACCCGGATTGCCTCAAGATGTTTTATTATAACCCTTTTTTAAAAATTTAGTTTCATTGGTAGCCAGCGCCTTTACAGCCCGACCCGCTAAAACAGTGACAAAGTGCCTGAGGGGCTAGCCATAGCTGACCTCTACCTATGTTAATGTAATTAATAATGCTAATTTGTTTCTTAAATTATAGGTAACTAATGTGTGTAGCAATTGTAATGCTGATCGGTTAATAAATTGTTATAAAAAAAAACTTTACCTATAAGAAAAATGATGTTTTCCATAACAGCTGGCACAACACAACGCAATCGACAACTGGTTCAGATAAAGTAATAAAATCTCCTGATGTTGTCCACTATACACTCAAAACTGTGCGAAAGAAACCGGTTCGGATGTTCTCACCTACACTGGATGACCAGCCGGATTTACGGCAAGGAATGTGCCAATCATTCATTGCTTGCTTTCTCTTAGGAAAGACCCCCCCCCCCCATAACTGAGCTACAGTACCTCTAATCTGTAACTGAATAAGGTTTATCTGTATTCATTGCTGGAATGGAATGGTCTATTAAGTATTTTATACAATACTATATCAACACTGTGAGGGCCATTTCCCCAAATAATACATCAACCCGTTAAGTATTTATATTTAAAAAGGTGAAGAAATAACTAATAATACTATTTATTTACTGTGAGTACTGTATATACCTCCGAATAAATTATTACAATATCTATATAATTTAACTATTTATTTATTTATTTCCCAACGGTTTACACCAGTTTACAAGAATATATACAATGTTGTGGATGGCAAAAATCATGCAATGAAGGGGTAGTACAGTGAGTGGTGTAACAGCAAGAACATAATATACTAAATAACAATTAACAAGTAATAAGTAAATAGATACTAAATAAATAAAATCTTGAATGATAACAATGATAATAATTAACAATGATATTTTATGAACTTATGTACCTATCCATTTTAAAATATATTCTTTCGTTAATACATCGTTATAACATTTACAGTGTGTGCTAATTAATTGTTAACACTTATCGATCCATTCCAAAATTTAGGTGGTTTGAGAGGAAGTTCCCCCTTTTTTTCTATGTACCTTGACAGTGTTTTTATGACAGTGTATTTTATGTATTTGTTGCATAAAAAACATAGAAAAAAATCAACAGTTTAAGGGTTGTATGATTACAAATGTATTTTTAGTTTCTATCTTGAAACCAAAATTTTAATATCCAGTTCTGAATCAAAGAAAACAAGTCATTAGAACATTGAACATTTTGTATTTAAATTAACCAATTATATGCAAGCGGGTGTTATTTTTCCAATAAATTTGGCCACATGACCAAACGCAGAACTGATGAAACCTAAACTTAGGTGTAATTAAATTTTAAGGTTACATTCAAAGTATAGTGTAGAGTAATTTTAAAAATTCCACGATTTTTTTCAAATTTGGTATCAAAATGATCAGGAGATTAAAATATATCCATTAATACCATCAGATTTTTATATTTTCTTCAAGAAAAAATATTGCTCAGAGATAGTGGAGCCAGTAGTATGACTCACCGGCACCGGCCAGGTCACCGACTGCCCGAGCAGCTCCAAGCACGCACAATAGACTCAAGGGATAAGGCAAGACCGCACTAAGGCTATTAGTGCGCTTGACTGGTTCCCCCCTGGTTCTGCCTCACTTTGGGTTGAAGTTTACTATACCTAAAAATCCTTTGCCTGCTTTGGTGAGCGTAGCCACAGGGTCCCAGGCCGACCCCTCATTAATCCTGGGACTCTCTGGCTGCAGTCGCCTGGAGAGGATTAGGTTCGGGTTTAACAAATGTTTACAAGGGGTACCGTATTTCTATCTTTCACGATAAACTTAGTAAATTTAGTCACTATTTAACCAAGTAAAGTGAGTGATGAAAGCATTGTCACTTAAAATTTGAACAAGTTCCATATATGTTGTTTGCACTCATTATGTTCTCATTTCCCCCTAATTTGGCCTTGCCGAATCTAATAAAATTATTTTCAACTCAGAAAAATGAACCAAAAAGGTCTAATTCGTAGGGACGCTTTTTGAGAGATTTTCAAATGCATACATTGGTAGTGTGATACATCTATTTAAAGGTCTAATCACCCCAATAATTTTGGTGCTAATAAAAATTAATTCTCTTTAACAGTATTTACAGGGTGGGCCAAAACGTTTAAAAATGACTTTAAAGTTAAGTACCGTTTAACTAACTACTGAACGAAACAGCGCCAAATTTATTTTCAAGCATATTCTTTAGCTACTCTTTAAGACAACTTGTAGTAAGGGGATTTTTGTGTTAATAAAAAAATATCTCAAACTTTAAGATTAAAAAGAGGTTGAACACTCAACATTCTCAAATACCAAGGTATAACAAACATTGAAAAATAACTGAATGATTTCTCTTGATTATTTTGGATGATAGACTGGATATTTGAAAGCAGAAATAATCAACCTGGACGTCTGTCTGTAGTCTAGAATAGAAGGCCCTGGCGGCGCCTGCCCCACCGGCGACGTCCGCCAAAAGGTCATCGTCATTAGGATTGGGTTCAATTATTTTGTCATTTGTTGTGATTGTGTGGGCCATAACAACCTTCGAGTCACGGCGGCTACCGGACTGCACCATCGATATCGTGACCTTCGCCGGCTCCACATCGCCGTCCGATAGTTATAGCATAGATGAAGAAATATATTAATCATCATACAGTAATATAATCACCACGGACGGCCCGCGCAACACATCGTGCAGGCCCAACTAAAATCTCCCACGGTTTTATACACGCGGCTGCCTATCTCATTATATTTACTTCATCTATGGTTATAGTTCAAGGATCGACCTTTGAAATTAGTGGGTAATTGAGTGATCTTTATGTTTTCGTGTTCGAAAGTAGTGGGACATGATAAAAGATGGAACCCTTTTCAAAATGTTGCAGCCTGGATGTGTAAAGTTGTACATTTATTCAAATGTTCGTATTAAATAAATATTTTTGAATTAATGTATAATTTTATAGCTTATGACAATCTCCAAGTTACCACGACTTCAGTTCAAGTCTGATAGAGCTCACATATTTTGAACAATCTTTAGCACATAATATGGTTGATTCGACTGGGTCCGCTTGATGAAATCGAATTGACAATGAATCAAACATAAATAAGTCTTAACCTCAGTTTTGATTTTTTATTTCTATTTGTATATTTAACACTAAAGCCATCTTTTAAGTTTTTGAACGGGAATGACCAACATGATTTTTTTCAGTTTACTTAAATTATGAACCAAAAACATGATTCAACAATAAACAATAAACTCGATAGCCTGATAAAAAAGTTTATCAAAAGTTCTTATTAAAATAGATTTGGAATGTTATGAATGTGTTATGGAAATGTTACATTATGTTATGGAATGTTACAGATTACTTGTTATGAGGATCAGAATACAATTTTATTAAACAAATACCATTCCTTCTATCCATTTTTCCTACCAATTTAATATATTCAAGAAGGGTTGAACTATTTATTCATAATTTACATTAATGTAGAAATTAGTTAGTTAAGCCTAACTAGGCTAGTAACCAAATAAATAGTTATGCTTTTATATGTTGGCTATATTTTTATTTATTTGTTTTGCAAAATAGGCCATTGACATAGACCTGCCACAAAGTGAATCATTATATTGATATTGTTTTGTAT